GGGGGGGGGGGGGGGGGGGGGGGGGGGGGGGGGGGGGGTAAGGGCGTTAGCAGCTGAGGCGTTCTTTAAGTTCCCGTGTCCTTGAATTCATTCGAGATGTGAGTCAAACTACACTCAGACTCACCACCCAGATTTCTCCGACACCTTGACAGTTCTAACAAGATGATCTCCATCTTTGGGAAGTATAGACACATGGATATTTCTTGGAATATGACTAAAGAAACTAAAAACAAGGTTTAGCCAATGATAAAACGTTTTGGGTCTTGTTGTAAACGCTTTCTTTCGCTAGAGAGATGAAGAAATGCGTCAGATTTTTCCATCCGATGAATGAGTTTGGATATACATACAATGTAAAGACGATGAACATAGTAATGGAGACACTGTGTAAAGAGAAGCTAGTTGAAGAAGCTAAGTATGTTGTTGCAGTAGGATGACATTTAGAAAAGTATAATGCAAAGATGACGCATAAGCCATAACAAGGCCGAAAAGGATGCATAAACATTTATCTTCTACAACTGAAGCCAATCTAGGAGCACTGGTAAGCCTGGTATAACTAAGAGAAAGTAAGTATGATTGGTATAATTGAGGTCTCATAATAACATGTAGATGTATTTGGTCTTTAGGTTGTACAAAATTGAACGTAGTTATATTTTGACTATGAAATTGAAAAAGTTAGATGTACCATGCAAAATTTAGGTCTCATAATAACATGTTCATACTATGTCTATTATATTCTAGAATTATAACTTTTTATAATAATACATCATGTCTATGTTTTTTCTAAAATAATGTGGATAAACAACTAAGCAAACCTTAAAATAATAAGGCGAATCATGTAAATTTATGGGGTGAAGTAAAAATTGTAAAAAAAAAAAAATTATAGAATTTCAAATAAATTGAGGGAAAGCTTTATGACCATTTACCAATTTGGATATATGATTGTTTTTCACATGAAATATCCTATGTGATTTTTTTTTTCAATTTCTAAGATGACAAATTATATCAGTTGTACTAGTACGTTTAGTTTCATATATAATAAAAAAGTTTTCCCAATTTTTCTAGTTGTGCCAAATTTATGAGTACATAATCTTATAAATAAAACGACTTAACCTCGAAATTCATATCAATCTCGAAATACATATCAATGTAAGATCTAACTAAACTAAGAAAACAAGTTTATGGGATACATATATTATTGGGTTACAAAAAAAAGTCAGAAATTGAGAAAAATATCCAGTTTAAAATCAATTAATTTTTTTCTCATAGAAACTTTACATCAACACATAAAACAGAAAAACAAAAGAAAAGATCAAAAGCATTAATGAAACAATCTAAAGAAATTTTAACCAAAAAAAACTAAAGAAGCAATCTAGAAATTGAAACTTGCTTTTGAGTTGCAATGGAAGTTCAAGAAAAAAACATTCACTAAAATATTTCTTGGGTTTTAATTTATATTTTGTTTTTATTAAGAATTCAGTAATTCTTAGATGATAAATGTATGTATAGGAGGTCCACATAGAATAAATGAGGTTGTTTGAGAATTTGTGTGTGCCTAAAGAGCCAAAAGAGATTGAAGTCCAGTTGGCCTAGTTTTTTTCACATAAAGTTCATCAACCAAACCATCACAAACTCATTAGTTCTTACACAAAAAGATAGATCCATTAGTTTTACACAAACAAACAAATTTATTAAAAAATCATAAATCATCAATTAGCTAGTCAAATTTCTCAAAAATCATCTACTTCTTCAATCTCTTCTAAAATAACTACTTTGTATACATAGGTCCACGTTCACAAAGCAAGTCTGGCACAAACCATGCAGCATGGTAGCCCATGAGGAACTTTCGATTTGCTTGTTGAAGTTGAGTTATCAGTATAGTTTTACTTTTTATTTATGTATATTCATGATGTAAAAGTCGAAATCCTCTATAACTAGCATTACAACATTAGCATATCGTGGCATCTTGCTAAGAACATTATGACGTTGTCATTATAACTAGCATAAGACCATGATTCTTTTATTTTCTCTTCAAACATTGTATAATCAACTTTCATTCATATATCTTATTTAAAATTAGCTAAAACAAAGCAATTTTTGTACAAACAATATCTTTTGGATCAACTTTATGTTTATCATATAGCGGATCAACTTCACCACATCAAACCATGTGACTGAGGAGATACTTGAGATTGATATGTTTGATGCATTGGTGAAGATTATTGTCCGTAGATAATATTCATTTGGAGGAGGGAAACATACTTCGTTGAGATCCCAATAGACATTCTAGATCATAATTTGTTTATCGATAAAAAGAATCTAAAGAAAATCAGCCAATGATATAAAATGCAGCGTCAAAAATGAGTGTCGATACGTAAAATTTCCTAATGGATTCTAATCAGGAGGAGGTTTTGATTCGATTAAAATACATATCCTTAGTCTTCACAATTAATTCACTTTCACTCTGGTGCTAAACAAAATTGGCATCTTACGTGAAAAATTATATAAGTATACAAAAAATGTCATATAATATTACATGTAAATAATCATAAAATTTTGAGAACCGTACAATAGCGTATTTTGTTATTTTAAAAAGGCTTTTAAATTTAACAAATTGGTGGGTCGAGCCCACATTAGTAGAATGGGATATATTCCGTGACAAAGAAATTAGAATAATCCTCATATCTTTATCAAACAAACAAACAAACAAACAAACCTCTCTCTCTCTGCTCGATCGTTGAAGCTGAAAGAAGAACCTGAAAGGTAAAGTCATCGTCCACATATACTAAAACTGGTGTTGGTTCGTGTTCTTCGTACTACATCATTTGTTGTCCCATTTGAGATGCTATTCTATCGTTGCGCGCACCGATTCTATTTGGGCTCCTCGCGTTTAAAAAAAAAAAAAAAAATCTGAAATCTTGCTGTGAATGTGATCATTCTAAATTTGATGGATCGGAGCTTTACTAAGTTGTTAATTCTGTGCCTCAAAGGTCCAATCTTTACGCATTTTTTCAGGTTTATCAACTAGATATCAAAGTCACTTGCATTTAGACACATAGAGTCTCTACTGTATTTGCTTCAGAGGTTTGGGTTTTAGTTCCAGGTGTATGATGATAATGAAGCTAATATTGGGTTTGGGTTTTAGTAGATGGGGAAGGACGCAAAAGCTGGTGGGAAGGGTAAGGGAAAGCAAGCCAGTGGCAGTGATGAAGCTCCCTCCAAGGGCAAAGGCAAATCAGGAAAAGCTGCTGATGGTCTAGGAACATGCACCTATGTTAAAGGTTGTCTGTTTTTCTCAGTTCAACTTTGTGTCTGATACTTGTGTTCTTGTCTTTTTCGGATCCAATTGTTCATTTTGATGTGTTGGCATTTTCTTCAGCGAGACATGTTCTGTGCGAAAAGCAAGGAAAGATCAACGAGGCCTACAAAAAGTTGCAGGATGGTTGGTTGAGCAACGGAGACAAGGTTCCTCCTGCTGAGTTTGCCAAGGTGAAAAACGCTTCATTTTTTTTTTTTCTTGTTTATGAGCTGAAAAAAAAACATTTTCATTATCTCATATTGAGACTTTGCAAGTTTCAGTTTTCTGGCTAGCTATATGTGCTGATAAATAATAGTGGAGAATCTCAACCACGATTTGTTTTGTCTCAGATTGCAGCAGAGTACTCGGAGTGCCCGTCAGGGAAAAAAGGAGGAGATCTTGGTTGGTTCCCAAGGGGTAAGATGGCAGGTCCCTTCCAAGATGTTGCCTTCAACACTCCTGTTGGTGTCACTAGTGCACCTTTCAAATCTACGTATGTCAGACCTTCCTCTCTCTTCTTTCCTCAGTCCCAAATCCGATACCTCTTTCCTTTGTTTTGTTGAGATGATGAATGTGATTGTGAGGTGATTGCAGGCACGGATACCATATCATCTTGTCGGAAGGAAGGAAGAACTGAAGATTACATCTCTGCTCTGGCTCTGCTCCAATGGAAGTGACTTGCTAGTTGTTGATGTAACCTATATATAAAAATATATCACAGCCTAATTTGTTTTCTGGCCAATATGTTTGCTACAAATCTTCTTTGTTGTTTTGAATAATGAATTTCTTAAGGCTATGATACATTTCGGTGTTGGTTTCTGTATAGCTAAGACCTCATTTCTGAAATCTCATAAGCTATATTGTATGATGTAGCTGGAGTCTTTTGTTGAAGAAGGTAACATATTCATACTAGTCTAAAACAGACCATAAACTGCGTCGTTCCGAAAATATATAATTTGAAAAAGAAAATAAACAAACCCACAGGAATGTGAACACAAAGTGAGTTACAACTGTGTAAAGATTATTCCTTTGTATGAGAGAAAAAAACAACTAGAGAATTCTTTGGAAAACAAAAAACAAATGGGAAAGATCATTAACAAAGACACTTGGCAGTAAGTGGTTTTCGGAACTTTCTGTAATCATCTTATGTCCATTTACTAAAATGTTGAATTTTAAAAAATATGAATATTTCTCATGTGGAGTGGGCTGTTGTTACACTTTTCTTTGGGGCCCTCTTTACTCAAAATCCTGTTACATAGAATGTCAGAATCTCACTGATTTGCACTTAGGATTGTATCTCCTTTGTACAAGAAGTGTGAAGGCAAACTCTGCAAAGATCAAGTCTTTCTTTACAAGTAAGCTTTGACCAAACATCTGTTGCTTGAAAATGGGAGAATATGTGGGCAGAGAGGAGAAGCCAATTATGGTATAAATGCTATTTGTTGAGTTGTTTGGACGTCGAGAAGTCTCTAGTTTGGCCCCATGGTTTGTTATACCCACTTACCCGACTTGAGTCTCTACTCATTTCTGTTCAGTGTATAGTAGTACTAAATTAATTTTATTTAAATTTAAGGAAAGAGAATCTCTCTAATTAATACTTTCTGCGGATTGTGCAATTTCAAGATTTTTGAGGAAGGAGTGAGATTTGTAATGAGTAAGGCCAATTAGATCTGAACCGTCCAGTAACCTTTTTTGGTTCCATGCATGAACTTAACAACAACAACACACACCTAAGAGATGGAGAGAGAAAAAAAGAGAGAGAGGAGTGTGTGTTGTGTTGGTTAAGAAAAGTATAGATCCAAAAACGCAGCTGACCTTTTGGTTGGCAACTAATACTTCTCTCTTTTTCTTTTGTACTCTAAAAAAAAAATCTCTGAACTTGAAGGATTTAGATTACTGTGGAGTTTACAAAGTTTGCTTCTTTTTTTTTACTCATTGCTAAGAAAGCATCAAACTTTTGCTCTGCTTCTTTCTCTCTGTTGCATTTCAGTTTTGTGGGCTTGGGAGATTTGATCAGGTAAACTCATCACTGATCTTCATAGTGTTTTTGGTTTCTTAAAAGAGACACCTTTTTATTGATATTTTGTCTGTTTGGTGTTTGATCATTTGTCTAAGAGAAGAAGAAGATCACACTATCAAAAAATATGGAGAAGAAGTATGTGTGCAAGTTCTGTAACAAGATGTTCCCTTCTGGCAAATCACTCGGTGGTCACATCAGGATTCATACCAACGAGTTCAGTGTCGTCAAGACTCCTAAGAAGACGAACAACAAGAGGAGTTTGGTGGATCAACAACAACTACTTTGTTGCAGAGAGTGTGGTAAAGGTTTTGTTTCTTCAAAGGCTCTTTGTGGTCACATGGCTTCTCACTCTCAGAGATATAAGATTGTTATGGTTATTGATACTCAATCTGATACTGAGGCTAGCAGGAAAAGATCCAAGAAGCAATCTTTTAGCTCGTCTCCTTCTTCTTCTGCTTCTGAGATTGATCAAGAACATAGGAACACAGCCTTGTCTCTGATGAAGATGTCTATAGATTCTAAAGGACACAACTTGGTGGTGAACTCTCTTGTGGCTGAGTCATCTGAGAACAACTCTGAGATTCTTGAGACAAAAGCATCTTCAGAGGAGCAGCTTAAGTTCATCTTCAGTGTGAAGAAGAATCATGATTTAAAGACTGACAAAGTTGCAGTTGATGACCACTTGAGAACTCTTGCTGATGATGATGATTCATATAGCTCTGATTCTGATTACTTCATGAATGGTCCAAAGAAGTCAAACTCAGATATCTCTGTTGATAGGTCTCTTAGGAATGGTGATGAGCTTGGGGTCAAGGAAGGAGGATCAAAGTATGAGCTGCACAAAAGCAAAAGCGTCTTGCCTTGTTATGAAAATGATTCTTGTGCAGACACAGACAGGAAGATTCATAGGTCCAGTGATTGCAAATCTCCATTGGTTAAGAAAGCAAGTAGTGGTGCTAACAAAAACAGCAATGGTCACAAGTGTCCAAAATGCTTCAAGGTGTTCAAATCAGGCCAGGCTTTAGGTGGTCACAAGAGATCACATTTCTTTGAGAATCAAGAACAGAGGATCAAACACAAAGCAGCAGCAGCTGATGTGCTGCTAATCGATCTCAACCTTCCTGCTCAGTATGCTGATGAATGAATCAAATGTTTCTTGATTTTGTTCATATAAAGATTTATCACTTAGCCAATTCTTTTCTTTATGACTTCTGAGTTGATATAAAGATAGCCTTCTTATCAGATGGGCCGTTCTTACTGGACTTTATTAATAGTTTGAGTGGACACTTAATATAACGCCTATAAAGACCCAAGATAGGTTACTTGTGGCTCAAGAAACAACTTTATACATGTTCTTGGTTTTCTTGTATTGAATTTATACACATTCATGTACAAAATACATAACAGGATCAACTTCTACGTATTAAATACCATGTAAATAAACTACAGAAAGTGAAATAAATCGATGGGAATGTATAATGAGGTCACGGGTTTTGATATTTAAATATATGAAAATGACCTAAAGGACCCACAAAAACCCATTCATAACGTCGACTCATGTGTATCTTCTGCGTTGCATTAAAACCTACTTTGCTTATTTCCCTCTTTCTATCAAGTTTTAAAACTTTTACTTCTCAAAGAAACCTTCTTACCTTTCTCTCTTTCCATGACTCAAGCAATGTCACCGACTTACCTGAAACGTCTGTTCATGATCTCTCTCCTCCTCCTCGTCTTCGTTTTCCTTCTCACAACAACTTCCACCGCTTCTCCAACATCAAGAAACTTCCGTTACCGAACCCACCGGTTCGTCCCGAAGGTTCATCATCACCCGTATTACGTGACACCTCACGGTTCTTGCGACTCCTTCACTCGCCCATACGCGCGTTCTATGTGCAATGAGCTTCAAAGAATCCACAGGAAGAAGCAGCCACTTGTTTCCCGTCCTCCTCCTCCTCCTCCGCTAGAGATTGATCCAAGGTACGGCGTCGATAAAAGACTCGTCCCCTCTGGTCCTAATCCTCTTCACAACTAAAAAAACCCTATCCCTAGCTTGTATACATATATACTGAGAGACCTTAGTTACTACATATGTTATATAGTTGACACATTTCTTGGCGTTTCTTGGAAGAGAGATCTGTATTATCCACAGAGTTCTTGGTTCTGCTTTTATTGATCTTGATGGCGTCCTACTCCTACGTAATTGTTGCTATTTCCACGCTTGTTTTTTGTAGAACTTATAGAGAGTGGAAACAATCTTGGAAATAGTGTGCAACGTCTTTCTTTTTTTAAAAAAATTTCTACGTTTACATAATTAAACTTTTAGTAAAGGCAGGAAAAAAAAGATTTAGATGTGGTTGAGAGAGAGGAGAAACGCATGAGTTCCATTAATTTGGGAGCTGTATATTATTGTTATGTAACTTCAAAGTCACGACCATTGGTCTATGAATAAAACTTAAACTTTTAAAAGTTTTGATGGGCCATATATAATCCATATGTTTGCTCCTCTCTCGTGTGATATCACTCTGTAAAGGTGTTTAAATTGGTTGTCTCTGTCAATACACAAAAGAGTAGTTAGTCTACTTGTATAACATATGTCCACTAAGACCAACACTAGACACTATCTCACAGTGAACAATGGCTTGTTGTGTTCCCAAAAATAAAAACTGAAAATAAGGTGAAAAAGGAAAGGCAATAATAGATGACACTGGTACAAATTTTGAAAATTGATGAACCTACATAGGAAAGTGTAAGGAGAATTTTGGTGATAACATGAATTTTATTGAGAAAAACATGGAAAAATAAGATTAACTTATTTGTTAAAGACAATTACAAGGAAAACAAGAAAGTTTTGAGTGCTCAGCCAAAACAAATTTAATTGGGAAAGACAATAAATACTACCCATTTTGAAAATGGTGTTATGAAAAAGAAAAGTAGCTTTAAGTAAGTGATACATGACCATAGTCTAGGCGGGCTGTAGCTTTCACTCTTGAAGCAAATCCGATTCACTCACTTTAACATATCTTTTAAATAATAACTAAAGATATGTAAAATATATTGTAATGATTTGATCAATTTAAAACTGTAAAATATTTATATTTTCATCAATACCTTTTAAAATTTAAAAATTAAACGATTTATATATTTTATATGGTATATAATTTAATTTAAAAATTAGAATACATATCTATTTAATGAAATTTTTCATGTTGAGATTTTATGATCATTTGTATTTTGGTATAACAAACAATTTAAACTATTGATTACAAAATTTCAGTGTGAGACTTTCAACAAATTTAGTATATTTTCAACAATTGTGGTAATTTATAGTCATTTAGAAAAATAAAATATAACATATATGAAAAAATCTAAAATTTATTATATGGTTAATTTGATTGTTTAATTTATTTTAATAATACAAAAAATGAAAGAGTACACAAATTGTTTTAAAATATTTATTATCAAAATTATTAATTGTCATATATTTTAACCACATTACATAATTTTATAGTTTTTATTTAAGGAAATAAAAAATAATCTTTTTTTGTAGATTCCTAATTAATTTTATAGTTAATCTAATGCAAAAGTATATTATATTTTTGGTGAAATCAACATATTTCTCTAATGATTATAAGAATCATTCTAGTGAGTGATACATGACATAGTTTGCATAATGTTTCTTAATTACCATATAAAGTATCTTATATTAATCTCAAATCTTAAATTATAATTTGAAAATCTGATTAATAATATTCAGTTATCATCGCTTTGTCATTTCATTCACAACCAAAAAAAAAGGGAAGCAAATCTCCTAACTTTAGATATTTCAAAGTCTGTTTTATTTGTTTCCTGTTTTTGTGTTCTCTCTTTTGCTTGATGGTAGGATCTCAAGTTAACAAGAGAGGACTGTTACATTCCCCCAAAACCTGATCCGGCCCTGTGAGAAACTATCAAGCTTTGAGCTTGATGATTCCCCCTCTCTCTCTATCTTAGCATCTGAGGATTTAAGTGCTCCTTCCAAGTTTTGAGGTAATGGGTTCTCACTAACTTCACCTCTTCTTGTCTCTCTTCTTCTGATCTTTGCTTATATAGTGTCTGATCATATACCTTAACTAAAGATGGAGCAGTGCAATGAGAGGAGGTTCGTGTGTAAGTTCTGTAACAAGAGGTTTGCTTGTGGGAAATCACTAGGAGGTCACATCAGAACTCACATGAACAACAACAAGAACTCAGCTGACTCAGATGAGGATGAACACACTAAGTTCATAATCGATGAAAATGGAGGTCAGCAATCTAGTTACGGTCTGAGAGAGAATCCTAAGAAGAACAAGAGGTTTGTGGATCAGAGAGAGATGATGGCTCTGAAACATCATCACCAGCATCAACAACAACTGCTTTATTGCAGAGAATGTGGTAAAGGTTTCGCTTCTTCGAAAGCTCTTTGTGGTCACATGGCTTCTCACTCTGAGAGAGAGAAGGTTGTGATGGATAGTCAATCTGATACTGAAGATTCTACGTCTCCTATTAAGAGAAGATCCAAGAGAGCTGTGAAACATCATCATCATCATCATCATCACAAGGCTGATGGTTTAGTAGTTGGTGGTAGCATCATGAATCAGTATGATTCAGCATCTTCTGATGAGTCTGAGATTGAGCCGGAACAAGAACAAATGGCATTGTCTCTGATGATGCTGTCTAGGGATGATTCAGGTTTCAAGAAAGGACATAACTTGGTTGTGAACTCTTTAGCTGAGTCATCAGACAACAACTCTGTGATTCTTGAGACTAAGTCTTCTTCAGGAGAACAGCTGAAGAAGATCTTCAAGGTCAACGAGTTTCGTAAGAAAGACAAACTTGGAGAAGGAGGAGTTGACCATATGAGATCAGGTGAGGATAATGGTGATGTTCTGTATGATTCAGATAACTCTGACTCTGGCTACTTCAGGAATGGACCAAAGAAGTTAGACTCAGATGTCTCTGTTGATGGTTTCCTCAAGAACAAGGCTGCAATGGGATTCAACAGCTCACAGGATAAGAGCTTGAACAGGTTCAGGACAGGATCAGATCGTTCTTCAACAAAGTATGATCTGAGGAAAAGCAGAACAGGGTTTCCTTTTCACGGTAGAAAGAAAATCAAGTATGAGTTCAGTGAGTCTGTGTATGACAGTGGTGATCAGCAGAGCTTGGAGACTGAATCTTGTGCGGACACAATCAAGATTCATAGTAAACCCCCATTGGTTAAGAAAGCAAGTGTTGGTGGTGGTGTGAAGAAGAAAAGCAAAGGACACGAGTGTCCTATTTGCTTCAGGGTGTTTAAATCAGGACAAGCTTTAGGTGGTCACAAGAGATCACATTTCATTGGGAATCATGAACACAGGACTTTGGTGATCCAACAACACCAAGTGCCTCATGAGATGCATACTCTCATCGATCTCAATCTTCCTGCTCCTATTGATTAATGAATCATTAGTAACCTGAGATCAACAATTTTGCTATTCATTCTTATTGTCTTCTCGCTCTTTTTATTCTTTTTGTTGTTGCTTAAGATTCAAGAATGGTTTTGGTTCGGAAGGTACATCAAAGTTTTCGTATTTTTATTTTATTTGTTCATAATCATATCAAGAACCGGTGAAGTTGACCTACCTAACCTTGACTATCTTTTGCTTTCTGAGTCCTGATTTCTTGACCTCCAAGAAAAGTATTTTTGATACTTCTTGCTATTTCTTTTAATATGTTTTATGCTAATTCATGGATGTTTATAGCAAACGAGTTGCTGTAAAACTTATAGCTTAAATTTATGTGTAGGTAGGGTGTATTAATCTCTGAATCATCGAAGGCAATTAATCTGCTCTTGTTCAAATCATATCTTCTACCTTGACATCAAACAGTGACAGCAATTAACAAATCTATCTGTTTTATAACCAACAAGGCTTTATATAATACAAAACAGATCATGTTTGGCTCATTTTACAGAAGATAAGATATACAACACCCCCCAACATAGGTGATATCAATTAACATCAATCTATTGTTTAGTGTATAGTAATTGTACTTCTCTTATAATGTTTTGAGGTTTGATACATTTTCCTGAAACTATCATCAAGTTAAGATCACAGTTGCAGTATTACCTGCAGGAGGGCACCTTTGTCTCCTCGGTCTTCTTGTTGCTTTTCCCCATCCTGTAAGCTTACTATCTTCAAGTCCCATCACTGATACGCTCTCCTTCATTGGCTGCACCATTGACGGGCAAACTGGAGGAGCTTCGTTCGTGATTCGTTTTCTTTTTGTGTTCCGTCTAGCAGCCACTCCAGAATTCAAAGTGTGCTCTCTGCTTTTCATAAGCCCACTAAACATTTGGATATCTTCAGTGACTTCGTGCCTCGATAGAGAAGAGAGCCCAGGGAGAGTATCTCTCAGGAAATCCCGCTTCGGTCTTCCTCGTCTTGCTTGTCCTCTTCTTGGCCTGTTCAAACCTGTCCCTTCGAATATCAGATTCTCAGGGACTAAGGGCTCTGGCATGTAGTCTTCTTCCTTGGTCGGATGTAAATTAAGGGTCATGGCTTCAAAGTAATCAATCTCCCCAGAAGAATATCCTTCGTGACCAGCATTTCGTTCAAACTCCTTACCATGAGAAGTGATAATGTCTGCGAACCAAGAGAGCTGACTTTTCACAGCCACATCAGTTGAAGAGGAAGCTGCGTCATCGGGAAGACGTTGGTGATCAGACAATGAGATGGCGACTATTGCTTGTGCTGCTACTTTGATGAGTTCATCCAAAGAATTCACATCTTGACCTTTCACTAATCCCCATGTTTCTCCATTAGATTTATCCTGCGAGCTCTCTCCATCTTCTTCTTCTTCACTCTCGAGAGTAGGGGGAGCTTCCAAATCTATCCACATAGTTCCTTTTGTTTTCACTCTCAGACTGGAATGTAAGGCTGAATCTTCATCATCCTCACTAGCACATGAATTAAGATCAATGTAGTGTCTGAAGTTGCCAGTTTTGTTTCCTTCTTTCTTACAAACACGAAAGTCATTAGTACCATGCTGGTCAGCAGAAACCGAGGCATCACATGGCAAGTTGATATCAAGGTCGCGCTTTATCAAGGTATGCTCTTCCTTGCAAACAGTATGCTTCTCAAAGATTGGGCACCCAATGATTTTTCTCCCACTCTGTGGGTTGATCATTTCAGCTCTTCTCATGTAGGCATTATTATAGCATGAAGCAGATGATCTCAAACTCGTCTGAAGTGACACGCTATTGAGGCCGTTCCCTGTGTCAGTTCCATCCATGGATTGATATGTCGGAGCATTCAAATCAAAGAAGCCATTGGATATTCCACTTTTGTAAAGTGGCTTAGGTTTTAGCCAGGGCAACCCAGCTGAGCGTTCCTGCTTTTGTGGCCCTTGAAGACTTTCCAAACTCTGGTTTTTCACAACCTCACCTGAAGAAGCATTTTCTTTAAATCCGGCTGATTGAAAATTATTGGCAGCCTCCTTCGACCCTGAAGAGAATCCATGATATATCCCGTTATAGACAGGACTTCTCGTCTCAAAACTTGAATCTGGCCTGCCATGAGCCACAAAATTCATGTAGGGATTCAATTGATGTGAGCTGCTCTTAGGATTCTCCCATGATGAAGACCAGTGGCTCCATGGTCTTAAGAAGTCAGGGCCGTAGTCATTGTGTAACCTTGGAGCATTAGATGCCACACTTGATTCAACGTAGCTATCACAAGAAGCTCGAGGATTCTTTGAACGAACTTTCAGCTCACGATATGCTCTTTCCCCGGAGAATAGGACCTTATTATGACCAGTTATGGGATAGCCTTGAGGTTGAAATCCATTGTTAGAGAGTACTTGTACAGAATGGGAAGGCAGCTGGTCTCTCTGTGTGCTTCTGCTGTGCCCTATTAACACACAGCCACATGAAAACTATGAGAAATAAGATAGGAAAAATGGCTGCATACTGAATCAGTACAGAATTCAAAACCATTCTATGAGCTATCGACCAAACATATGTGAGCAGGAAGACACACACACACAGGAATAAAAAAACTTGCGCCTCAGTTTCATATCATTTCAAAGATTAGAGAAATGAAACGAACATGAAGAACATGCCACTTATTAAAAAAAAGGTCACCTGCTTGAAGGACCATCCAGCCATTTTGACTTGTGTTTTTCTCCAACCACTGTCCTTGAACATCAGCATTGTTCCTCCCATGATGAGAATGCATATCCCTGGACAGAGAAACAGGTTCTGGATCTTGCCATCTGAGTGGCTCATTCAAGTCAGCTAATCCATCTGAGTTCTTCACATCCAAGCAAGACCCTGAAGAGTTGTTCTCATGACAAGCATCCCCTCTTCCAAACTTCGACCGTTTGAGTGGAGAGCAAATTGTAATCTCTTCGGTCTCATCTGAATCAAGATACTCATCGGCAGGGAGTTGAAGATCAATCATCTTTCTCCTAGCCTTCACAGGAACAACCTTCCCGTCTCTTGAACTAAACCCATTTTGCAAATGACCATAGCTACTCCTTTTATTTACATTCTCATATATATAATCCCTCAAATTAAACTCATCATTAGAGTTTTTCCCCTTTACTTCATCCACCAACTTCCTCTGGACTCTGTACAAACGGTGAAGCTCATGCACCTGAGACCAACACAAACAAACAAGAGAGAGACAAAAGTCAAAACCTTTAAATAAGGAAATGAAACTTAATCGGACAGTAGCAACAAAAAAAATATAAACCTGGTTCTTAAATACAGCTTCGTGCTCAAGCATTCTCTGTTTCATGAAATCTCTCTCGTACCCTCCTGAATATGACGAATCCGCAGCAACATAAGAAGCTCTCATCGAACCGTTGTCATGTAGATAAGCAGACCAACTGCAAGTATTAAAATCTTCACTCATTTTGGGCAAAAAGGTCCCACAGTGACTGATCTCTTGCTCCCTCATATTCCTTCTCTAATGAAAGCTAGATTCTGCTCAAATTTCACAGTACTTTGATTCAGATTCAAACTTATACAATCACATGATTCGGATAGGCGATGTTATAGCATAGCAATAAAGTCTCTGTAGCATCTAAGCACTATATCCTTTTTTTTTTTGTTTTCGAAAATCCAAATCCAACAAAACATATTGTACTGTATATATTAAATAAATAGTTTTCTGGATCGATTTGACTTTTTAAATGACTTCAACCTAAATTCACCAGATAAAGGAACACAGGATTAGCAAAATTAAATAAATAAAAGATAGAAATGGTAAATTAAAAAAATATAATATAAAAAATAGAGATTGTACCTCTCATCATATGATCATCTTTAATCGTTGATTATTGGAAACACTCACTCCCATATCAGCGACAGATTATCGATAAAATGAAAACTCCAAGTAAAAAAAATACTAAAAGAGAATTAAAAAGTGAGAAATTAATTAGCGAAAGTTTAGTGTTGAAAAAGAGAAGAGAGACTGCTAAATAATCGAAACTCCAGGGAAGAAGAAGGTAGAGAGCTCTCAAGCTGTCTTCTTCAATCTCTCTCTCTCTCTCAAGCTTTTCTATCGCTCAGATTCTATTAGCGAATGCAGTAACCATAAAAGAATAAGAGCTTTTATATTCCTTTTTTAATATTTATTTATTTATTTATCGGATTTGTTGTTTTCGTAAAACAATACACAGACGAAAGAGACTTCTAATAACAGTGACGTGATATTTTGTCAACACTCGTCCTTCCTTGCATTTTCTTCTCGTGATCTTCTGCTCACTTTTACATTTTTTTTTAGGAAAATTTGCCAAAAGAGGACTAAAAAACACAACTATTGTCCCCTTAGAATAAATTTCATGATTCATGTCCCCTTAGAATAAACTATAATGAAAATCCAATTTAGTCCTTAGTATTTAATTCAACTTTTGTATTTTCTTATTAATCACAAAGCCGATATATATTTATAGTATGAGAGCATTAACAATGAATGACAATGATTCTGTTGGTAAACTACCTCTACTTTCTCCCTATAAACATGGGTTCGAGCCTCCTGGTATGCAAGTATATTTTTTTTAATTCGAAGCTTTGGATATTGATTATTTGAATCTTTGTACTTTGTTAGAAAGAAATACTATTTTATAATTTTGCAGATTTTAAAGTTAATAAAATAATAAAATGTAAATGTTATATAGTAATCATCTTTTAAAATAACAAAAATCATGTTACAAAAATCTTGGTAAATCCATACCCTAAACAATAATGAAACCCTAAACCCTGCCTGAATAAAGAAATAAGATAAACCATACCCTAAACTCCTATCTCTTATTTGAATCTTTGTACTTTGTTAGAAGGAAATACTATTTTATAATTTTGCAGATTTTAAAGTTAATAAAATAATAAATGTAAATGTTATATAGTAATCATCTTTTAAAAGAAGAAAAATCATGTTACAAAAATCTTGGTAAATCCATACCCTAAACAATAATGAAACCCTAAACCAATAATGAAACCCTAAACAATAAGAACAAAAATCATGTTACGTATATCATCTACCCTAATTTGGCCACTTTTCCTCATCGTCTTTCTTTCTTCTTTTCGAAAAATATGGCGAACATGAACAACATTGAAGGAATCCCTCGCACATACTGGTGTGGGAGGGGGATTGTCACTTACGTTTCAAAAACAGATGAGAATCCATACCGACGGTTCTTCAGATGTGAGATTGCTTTACAGGTAAAGGTCATATATAAATACTTATCAATTCTTCTGTGTTGAGACTTAATTTGTTTTCTGTTCCAAATCAGAGAAAAAAAGAGCAACATCTTTTTAAGTGGGTGGATGAGGCTCTGTATGAAGAGATTCAAAAGATGGATGACCATCAAGCGTTCATGGCAGAAGAAATTGAAGATCTGCGTGTTTCGTTGAAGATGGTGGAAGAAGAAGTTATGAAGCATAAAGCCTCTCGAGATGTTAGTTGTGTAGGATCCATTCTCAGTATTTTATGTCTCTGTTCCAAATTTGATTGATATTTTGTAATGTTTTTCTATTTCTATCTACATTGAATAAGAACAAGTAATGGATTTCTAGTGTTATTGACATGTTTTAAAGACATCTAAATTCAATATAAATCAAAAACACTGCTAAAATCAACATGAAACGGATCATGAATATGAAAGATAACTTGCAGAAAAACAAAAAACAGAGGTTTATGCATAAAAAGATGTTAGAAAGTTTTTGAGTTAGGTGACTCAGTAGGCGACTCAGTAGTCCCTTCTTCATTCAAGTCAAATTCGACATTGATATTCCTTGTATCCACCTTAGATCGAACACACACACATAACCGCGTAGAAGCTCTGATCTTCAGATATGTTAGAAAGTTTTTTGAGTTGCCTATCATTGGTGATGAAAACAGGTGGCGAGTTGATGCTATTCATCAAATCTGAAGGTAAGTAACTCAACTCGATATTGACCATATCTAGATCAATTCCAAAGTCTTCACACACGATCAACTTCAGGTGTTCAAAAGATGAACTTGTGTCCACAGTTTGTAACCTACCTCCTTTTCCTTCATCAACAACAAATCGCCATCCATTGCTTACAAACGATTTCCATGAACCACATGAAGTATACATGTGCATCTTCATTGTTAGATAGCTTGGAAGTGGAAGAACTAAAAGAATAGAAGAGGTTTTTCACGGTGAGAAGAAGAAGAAGACCCACGTTCAAGACAAAATATATTAAAAAAGGAAATAAAAATATTTAGAGAATATTTACTTTAAGATTTTGCTAGATTTTCGGATGGTGGCTCACAAACCGTTGGTAGAAGATACATTCTACCAAATTTTCCATTAGTTTAACCAGTGGAAACGTAATCCCACGAGCGTAGACAAAACATTAAAATTAAGAAGATATGTTCTGCCAAGGTAGACGCATGGGTCTTTATTATATGATATGTTCTACTGAAACTGCATAACAAAGAAGGAATGTCAGTTATCATATTCTTCAATCGTAGATGTATATGTTTTTGGTGTATTACGCATTCTAAGCCCTTTAGATGGATTAATGGTTAGTAGATTGTACACTCTGAACCGCCGTAGATGGTAGATCTGATTTACTACCCTTTTATCCAATTTTTGAAATTACTATTCCAAACATTTTTTGAATGTAAAAATATTTTTCATATATTCACATGCTACTCTATTTCATATTGTATATTTTTCCTCAATTTTTTACCTTGTAAATTTTTTACTTTGAATTTTTATATACAAAAAGGGTAGTGAAGGTCTAAAAGTGCCAAAATTTGATTTTATTCTAAGGGGACAATAGTTGTGTTTTTCGGTCCCCTTTTGGCAAATTTCCCTTTTTTTTATCTGATTAGTTCTTAAGTGTAGTTCTATAAAATTATTATATTAGTACTTCTGAATTAAATTTTAGGAAAATATTTCACTTAAAAAGGACATATGTTATTAAAATTCTATATTTTTGAAAGTTTTTTTTTGGTAGAAAAATGGTTTTCTAAAATATTTTTTCAGTAAAGCCCTTTCTCAAAAAAACCAACTTTTTTTCCTGAAACTTTTCAATCCACATAGTCTCAAATGACTCTCACCAACAAAAAATATGATATGCCACATTCAAAAATATGACATGGCATATTTGAAACTCTAATATGATATGCATCGATTTATGATCAATCATTCTCGGTTCCATATAAAAGTGATTTCATTAATATATTTATGAAGATTTAAGTCCTAATTTAATTCATATATGACATAAAAATATAATTTCCTAATAAGAACTGATTCCTTTGCTAAAAAAAGAAATTACATTAATTTTGATATATTTCACAAGTTATCAAACTAATAAAATAGAAATGTTTGGGTATATCTTTAAAAGGAACACAAACTTTAACCTATAAAAACGTCCTATGACAAAGCACTCAACATACGAACCAAATCAATATACAATGAAGCGTTCAACCACAGAACTAAACGACCGAAACACAATACATGGACATCCAAAGATAAGAAATATTAACGTATGGCAAAAAGATATATCCAGAAGCAAAAAATATAACGTATGCAGACTTCCCATCATACTTTGTTTGGCATCTGAAAACAAGAATGTGAAAGCCAAGATGAAGAGATTTTGCAATTGGAAGGATCGCTTATGTACCATCATCTTTAGATAAAGTGTATCAATTAATCAGTTACTATCAATAATTCTTAGAGTCTATATTTATTAATCTATTCTAAGACCTCAATATTTCTCAGAACTCCTATGAGTTTGAGCTATCTTTCGTTGTTGATAATTCATATGTTTAATAATCAATTCTAGTGTATCATGGAGGATCATATGGCAGCCTCAAAGCAACCTTAAAAAAACATGTGATCCTCCATATAAAAAATAGAGTTCTAGATAATTCTTCAAAAATACAATTCACAACATATGGAAGAAGATCTAAAAAGTATTGTAAAACTCCATCATCTGTAGTATGTGTTATACATTTCATTTATAAGACAAACATGAATATAATATATCTCTCAGGGAAATGAGTTAAAATATGTTGGAAAATGATTAATTACCTGGTTAAAACAATTAATGAAATTTAGGAGGGCATTAGAATATTCAATTATAACATTTTGTTGTACATTATTTGAACATTAGAATATAGTCTGATTGAATAAAATTTCTTTATTCAGGAAAAAAAAATCATAATTTTGAAAGATAGTAATCCTTGTCCAATCAATGATGAACATAAGAACAAAAAACTCAACTAATTGGACCTAATTCAAGTTAAACCCTCTGTTAAACTAGTTCTGATTTAGCAAGAAAGATATTATGGTGTGAAAAAACTGAATCAAACCAGCCGAAATCCAAACCAAAGCAAAGTTTATGTCTAAACTATTTGATATAAATTTTATCAACCCAAATGGTTTGGTTCAGTTTTAAACCTAACCCAAAAACAACATGTTTCTTTAAGTAATTCACTAAATATACTAATAATATTAAAATTTAAGATATTTAACCATTTAACATAAATTAGTAAATATAATTTTATATATTTTACTTCTAAATGAATAGAAGAAACATAGCTAAAAATAAAACAAAAGAACATGAATTCTATACATTAACATAAAAACCAAAAACTAACCTATAATATTTACTCCAGGTTTATTATCCAGGTTTCACTTTTTTATTGTGAGGTTTGTTTTTTTTTACGTTTAAATATGAAGAAAATAATGAATTAGTGTCAAATGAAAATGGTGATTTGTTTTCTATCTTGAATATTATATTTGTTTTGTAAAACTAAAATAAAATTAAACAATCAACTCGACTGAATTAAACAAACACAAACTAAACCGAAGCAAACACCAAACAAACCGACCTAAAATCGATTCAAACACAAGCCAAAACGAACTAAAATTGAACCAAATCATATACAAACCAAACTAACCTAATTTTGGTTCACTTTGGTTAAAAAAAATTTAGATACAAATAATCAAACTGAAGATCCTATGGGGTCTATAAATCAGGATGAAGCCTAATAAATTTCTAGATGGGCTGGGCTCAATAGAATTATTTCAACTCTTTATAGAGCCCTAAACAACCCTAGAAAAAGCCTCCTCCATATAAAAACAGAGTTTAGGTTAACCGTGCCAACATTTCTTTCCCCAAATCCACATCTCTCGCTTTTCCCAAATCGTTGAAACATGTCGGACGAAGAGCACCACTTCGAGTCCAGCGACGCCGGAGCTTCCAAGACCTACCCTCAGCAGGCTGGTAACATCCGTAAAGGTGGTCACATCGTCATCAAGGGCCGTCCCTGCAAGGTATCATTTCCGATCTCGTGATTCATAGATCTACGTAGCCTCTTTTGATTCGGATTAGGTTTATGGAAGGAATCAAATCGTATAGATCTAAGTAATTTAGTTTGTGATTTTATCTTATATATTTATTTGGGATTGATAGGTTGTTGAGGTTTCGACTTCGAAGACAGGCAAGCACGGTCACGCTAAGTGTCACTTTGTTGCTATTGATATCTTCACTGCGAAGAAGCTTGAGGATATTGTTCCTTCTTCCCACAATTGTGATGTAAGTCACTTTAACTAGTTTCTGTTTTGTTATGCTCTTTAAGATGTATTAAGATCTGATTCAGATTTGTGTTCTTCTTGTTGTGTTTTAGGTTCCACATGTGAACCGTATTGATTACCAGTTGATTGATATCTCTGAGGATGGCTTTGTATGTCTCTCATACTCTTTTATCTTTATTCGAAATGTCTTTTTTTACTTCCTAGCTCATGTTTGAAATTGTAGTAATATTATTTGTTCATACTACAGGTTAGCCTTTTGACCGACAGTGGTGGCACCAAGGATGACCTCAAGCTTCCCACCGATGATAGTCTCAGCGCTCTGGTTTGTTTTCTTGTCCTTTCTTACATTCATGACGACTTGGTTGCTTCCTTGAGATTGCGATATTAACAATGTATTGTTTTTTGTTGTGTAAATGCAGATGAAGAGTGGATTCGAGGAGGGAAAGGATGTTGTGGTGTCTGTTATGTCTTCCATGGGTGAGGAGCAGATCTGTGCCGTTAAGGAAGTTGGTGGTGGCAAGTAAACCAAATTACCATTCTCTTTTACACAGAGAGGATATAATCTTATTACCAGTGGTCTCAATGTTATAAGAACAAGAATTTGTTTTTTCCTTTTTTTTTTCTACTTTAGACCATTTGAGTTGTGTTTCTTGTTGCAAGACAACCATTATCTATTGGTTTTGGATTGTTTAAATGTTTTCCTATAAAATTCTTAAATCCCTTTGCTTAGTGTTATTCTGTGTTGTTCACAAAAGATAATAGTTTGGTATTACACCGCAGGAGGTCAATGTTGTTCATCATTACACGTACTGTCCATTCACATAGTTTGGTATTAAACACGAACATCATTATCAAGAGGAGGTTTGTGTTATTGTATTTGTACAAAACCAGTCTTCGGGAGCACTCTCTCATGTCGCCCTTGAGTGCTCTCTGTGGATGAGTCGTTGCAGCCTATTTAGGAGATAAACAGAGCATAATGGTGTTTTAAAGCTTCATCTTTATCAAAGAGTCATAGGCTAGTTAAGGCAAAAGATGTCTTTAATCTACCTTCACAATGTGTTTGAACTGTATGGTTCCACAAGCCGATAGCTTTGGAACGTTGGTACTTATGACATAATACTTTACAACGTTGGTACTTCTAGTTACCTTTCTCATCTTTTAGTCGCCCGGCCAATTCAAATGGTCTCCCTTCGCAGCCATTTGTCAAAGACTTGTTCGAAATTCGCTGAAACTGCTGTTTCATCAGCAATGTGTTTCCCTCTGTTCATAACATATCTCTTGTCTAAAGCAGCAGTGGTTTCCTCAGCGGATGCCACTTACTCGAGGGAAAAAAAATCGAAATAAGCAAAAGTTCTTGGTTGTTGGCTGCAGAAGCTATGAAGATGAGTTGTGCTCCTAACCTGGGCATTTGCATTCTTATTGTTGCTTGCTTCACTTTTTTCTGCGTTCTCCTTTCCTTCTCTGCTCTCGGCTTCTCTCCAGACTTCATTCAATCTTTACGTAGCATTCTATGATGTTTGAGGGGCAGGTGAGAGATACTGAGCTGATCAAAGGGAAGATTCAAGTGGGTTTGTTGATGTTCCTCGGTTCCACGTTAGGAGGACTGGCGTTTGTTTGATCACAGAGTGAGAAAGGTTAGTTATGGAGATGGGTCTTCAAGGCTATATATGGGAAGGACCTCTTCTGGTGTTAGTGTATTCCTATGTGACACTTACCTGTTTGATGATGAGTGCAGTGTCCTACTTTAGCTGCAGAGTTTATTAAAGTACGAAAGCTGCTTCTATAGGGGAAACTCAGCAATCATGGATGATGCTTAGTAATGGTTTTGGCTGCTAAGATATGTTTCTTGAAGATGTATATCAATGCGATTTACTTTGAACCATTTTGGTTTCACTTGATGCATTTTCAACGTTTTGTGTGTTATATCTAAAATTTCTACGTTTACATGATTGGTGTTTGGAGTCTCTTGTCCGAAAAACATTTGGGGGGTTAAATAGTAAGTTTTTAAAGTATGTGGGTTATTGTGAGAATCCATTCTTGTATAAGAACTTGAAGTTAAAAATTCAATATTAGTTGTAGCCTGGTGATCGCACAAACCCGGTTTAAGTAGACTCGTTCAAATTATAAAACCAAATCACCTGGTTCACCGACGCCACCATTCGCCGCCAGCGTCCGTCACAATATCAGCATAGTTTATCTTCGCTGTCACCAAATTAAAGCGCCGTATTTCGGTCGTGTCCTGACCTTTATCATCACCTTGCAAGTGAGTTCGAAACATATTGAACCTTATGCTGTTCTCTGTACTTTCTGAATTAATTGTTTATCGACTTAGGTTTATGTTTCTTCCATATACTAACTGCTTAGAGACCTGTCTGATTCTCATATTTGGAGTGTTCACCACTTGTTCGACGTAATGCTCCCTTCCAAAGCTTTCATATATTTGTGTGATGCAATTAAGTAGTTAAACGTAGTGTGGCTATAGGCGGATTCACTCTTATATGTTTTCTTCTCTGTTATGTGTTCATGTTTTATCTCCGCTCATTAGTCTCATTGTTTAGCAAACCATCTCATCTCTCTGTTGATTTTTTTTTGAGTAGGGACGGCAAAAATTTGACATTTTTGAGGGCTTTTGGGTGTTGTTGGTATGGTCCTACGATTTATGTTTTGTTAGTTGGAGGAAATCATCGATAAAAGTCTCTAGGTTGATATGGTTTGGTCATGTATGTTGCCCAGTAATGGACGAGGGACGTCAAAAGGACTTGCAGTTGTTGGAGGAAATCATCGATAAAGGTCTTAAACAAAAGCTTCTACAAACTATTGCTACACGGTATTCAAATTTTACCTCTCTTTTTCGCATCCATATTTAAAATTGTGTGTATAGAGGGTTAGGTTAACTTGTGTGCTTTGCGTGCTATTAATATAATGTTATCTCATTTTGTCTCTTCATTTTGTTGGTTTTTCAGGGACAAGATCTTTGAAGAGCAAAAAGAACTGTATCCTTTTTGTATAGGAAAGACTCTTGCTTCTTCAAATGTGCTATCCCTAATGTTTTTAGTTTCTCCCTTGTCTAGCTGACCGATTCAAATACCTTTCACTTGGTTTCGAGTTTCTTGTTGTCCAGAGGAACTGTTCTTGGTGTACTCGTTCGTTCACAATACTTTACTCTTCTAGTGAGCTCTAATTTATTTGGAGATTCTTTTTTTTTGTTCCCTTAATAACTTCGCCCGCTCCAGCTCTGACTTGCGGAAAAACATAGAAACTCTGGAGAAAAATGGTGTAAATAGTCTCAAAACTATGGTTAACCTCGGTTCAGAAGTTTACATGCAAGCTGAAGTGTAAGTCACTTATAGCTCTGGGTCTCTCTTTTCATCTTAGTCGAGTCAGTATCTGAGCAAATGCCATGCACTAGCTCCATACTGATAAATAACACATAAACTCTTGTGCATTCAAGTAGTATATACTTTCACTGTGTTCTGTATGTTAGATGCTAGTCATGTACTATTGAACAGAAAAAATGTTTGTAACTGCGGATCAAAATTGTAATTGGTATATACCAGTCTTACTTCTGATATCGTTTATACTTGATTTGGGTGTCTGTTTTGAGTTCAGGCCAGATACAAGGCACATATTCATGGATGTAGGACTGGGTTTCTATGTGGAGTTCACCCGGCAAGAAGCTCTTGACTATATTCCAAAAAGGGAGGAACTAGTTAAAAAGTATGTAACGCCTTGCTTTTTTTACTTTGCTCCACATACCGCTTTTCTGAAACTATGTTCGCCGTCTCTTCATGCCTTAGGCTGTGTTGATTACTATAAATCGTTTGTTTGTGTTTTTACAGACAATTAGAAGAGGTTAATAAAGTTATTGCGCAGATCAAAGGGCGTATCAAGCTGGTAAGTTCAAGAGTAGTATCTTGCTTTGTAACAATTCAATTAGAATGAGAAAACCACTGTTAAACAAGTCTGCATTCTCATTAGTAACTTGCTTTGTTAATGGCTGTTATGTGTCTCAACATTGTAAACAATTTTGCAGGCTCATCACCAGATTCAGCAAATACTCAATCTTCCAGAGGAGAATCCATCATCAAACCGGCAACGTGCGTTTCAGTATTGATCATTAGAGAAGGAATATCACTAATGAGGATTGCTATTGCCACTGTCCATTGGGATTTGCAAGGCCCTGTGTTTTCTTTCTTTATTTTCTTAAAGCTAAGCGTGTGGGAAACATGACATGTTTGTAGTGAAATTGACTCGTCCAGCATATCTAAACTAAGGCACCATGCCAAATCTCCTCTGAAAAAAAAGAAATTCAAAACTCATCTCTGAATTGAAAAACTTCAAAACACACAGACCCATACTTAAATATCATACACCATAAACTCGATTTTCATTTGGTTTATTGTTAATCAATTAGCCATTTAAATTTGATATTAAACCGAAATTTAATCTTATTAACCAACCGATTCAACCACGTCAGCAATCAGTTGGAAATTCCACGTCAGCAATTCATAGTGTGTCCTGTCGATGGTTAAAATAAGAAATTAGGTTACGGATCATCGTCTTCTTCTTCCCTTGCGCCGGTGACTCTGTTTCGTGGACTTCGTAGTATCGTAATCTCATAGGTAAGATCCGAATCTCGATCCATGCCGATAGTTACTATCTCCAATTGATTCAAATTGCTCAAATCTTGATCCTTTGTTGTCAATTTATATGTTTTTTTTCCCCGTGTGTCTCAGAGCTGTGATGGATCCAGCACAGAACACAAACACAGCAGGGATCGGTGGAAGCAATGGCACAACAACAACGACGATGGGATATCAAACCAACGAGGGAACAGCAACTGCGTCTGAAGATTCAAAGGAGAATCTGAACCAAGTCATAAACTCAATTCAGAAGACTTTGGGACTCCTTCATCAGCTTCACCTTACTGTCTCTTCTTTCACTCCCGCTTCTCAGCTTCACCTCCTCCAGCGCCTGTACTTATCACTCTCTGTTTCTTTAAAGATTGTAGTTTTATGTATCTGAATTGAGAATGTCTTGTGTGTATGTTTGAAGCAATTCTCTGGTTTCGGAGCTGAATAGTATGGCGAAGTTGTCTGAGAAATGCAACATTCAAGTCCCCATGGAGGTTCTTAGGTAAGAGTCCTTTTTGTTTATTTTCCTAGAATTGCTAAACGTTTTGCTTGGTTTCTTATGTTACTGGTGGGTTTGTATATTTTGTTAACTAGCTTGATTGATGATGGGAAGAACCCGGATGAGTTTACGAGGGATGTTATTAATAGCTGCGTAGCTAGGAATCAAGTTACAAAGGGCAAGACTGATGCTTTTAAGGTTATTATTATCACCCCTTTTCTCTACTGAGTCTTAGACTTGTGTATGCTCTTTTACATATTTGTTTGTTAATAGGATTTGAGGAAACATATACTGGAGGAGCTTGAAGAGACGTTTCCTGATGAAGTTGATAAGTATAGAGAGATCCGTGCTGCTTCTGCCGCTGTAAGTTGTTACCATTCACTAATATAGTTGGTAAACTCAGAAGGTGACAATTCATTTTTTCATTAAATGCAGGAAGCAAAAAGGGTGGCACAGTCGCAAGCTGTGTTACCCAATGGGGATGCAAAGGTCAAGAGCGAGCTATAAAGAAAGAAGCCACTTTTCTGTTCTCTTCTTCTGTGGATCTTCTTACCCCTTGTAGAATAAATTTTCTGAGTAGATGATGTAAACGAACAAGAACCACATTGCAATTTCTATAATACTTGGTTTCTGTTTGTTTGTTTTCAAAGTTTTTTGTTTCCTATAGGCTATATAACACTCAAACTTTGTTTTCTTCCAAATCTACTCTCCAAATCGAAGAAATTGCGATTGCTTACGTTTTGGTATTTTTTCCAAAATGGTTTGGTTCGGTTTGTTTCACGTATATTTTGCACGCGTTAATTAAAATAAACAGTGGCTTACACGTGCCAACTGAAACGCACCGTTTTGGGGGTTTTCCTTACCAGACAGGAATCAAAAGAAAGACACACGAGTCGTTAGCAGTTGGGTGTTTTGATCAGATCCGACCAAAATCTAAAGAAGGATCCGTTTTGATCAGATCAGTATTGTTTTTTTTTTAATCGAGAGATTGGGAAGGTGAAGAGAGGAAGATGAGCGAGGTATTTGAAGGGTACGAGAGACAGTACTGCGAGCTCTCAACCAATCTCACCAGAAAATGTCATTCTGCATCGCTTCTCTCCCACGGAGGTAATTAAAAACATATTTCAGATCCAATCTATGTTTACGATCTGACAATATCTGTAGCATCTGGGAATGTTGAGTATATATATATGATTTTGATGTTAACATCCCATTGCTTGTATTCTCTCGATACATAGTGTTTTCTAGGGATGGAATAATTGTTTTAAGACTAAAGATGAAAGACTTTTGTTAGCTCAAAGATAATTATTTACCTGTGTTGGGTTTATTCAGTTGCCTAGCTCTTTTGATAACTCTTCTTTGACATTATAGTGCATAGACTTCTTTAACCATTTTTTGAAGAGCTCTGTAAGATCTGGGAGTGTTGAGATATTTATATGATGTAATCTCAAGAATGACTATGTAACTGTTTTTTTTAAATTCAGTTGGCTCTTTCTTTGAGGTTATATAATAGTACATAGACATGTTCGAGTTCATTAAGGATTGTGGTGCCATAAAACCAGAGTAGAGGTTTGATTAATTGTGATGTGATATTTTTGCAGAAGAGAAGAAGGAGAAGCTTGTTGAGATTAAGTCTGGAATGGATGAAGCTGATGTCTTGGTATTTCCGTTTATTTTGCTTTGTTTTTTTTCTCTTAAAAGCAACATACATAGCTTCTGTCTTTTTTTTTAATGGTAGATTCGGAAAATGGATCTTGAGGCAAGAAGTTTGCAGCCGAGTGCTAAAGCTGTCTGTCTTTCTAAACTAAGAGAGTATAAATCTGACCTGAACCAATTGAAGAAGGAGTTCAAACGAGTGTCTTCCCCTGATGCTAATCAATCTACACGTGAAGAACTGATGGAATCCGGAATGGCGGATATGCCTGCGGTAAACTGTTAAAAGAAAATCTTGAATCACATTTGTTGTCTTGGCTTCATCTTTGTCTAAACTGAATCTTAGATTCGAGAGATTTTTATGCTAATTCACATTATTGTCGTTGTTTCCAGGTATCAGCTAATCAGAGTGGGAGACTAGCAATGTCAATGGAGAGGCTTGACCAATCAAGCGACAGGATCAGGGAGAGTAGAAGATTAATGCTGGAGACAGAAGAGGTTGGCATCTCAGTTGTTGAAAATCTTAGTCAGCAACGCCAAACCCTCCTTCACGCTCACTCTAAGGTTATATACCATGAAAGGACTTTTACAGTTTGTTTTGGGTATCTATCATTAGACCATTAACTAACATTTTGTGATTTGGTGTAAAAACAGCTTCAGGGTGTGGATGATGCCATTGACAAGAGCAAGAAAGTGTTGACTGCTATGTCTAGAAGAATGACGAGGAACAAATGGATCGTTGGTTCGGTTATCGTTGCTCTCATTCTCGCCATCATCTTGATCATCTCATACAAGCTTTCTCATTAACATACTCAAAAAAACATATATATTCATCGTGATTGTGTGTGTATATATGATGATTGATTCCTTTGTAATGGGCCCCATATGTTAACTTGTGTTCCAAAGAATCCTTGTGTATTGGAGTGGAAATACCAACACTTATTATATCTTCCAGGTCCTTACATGCCTCGGCGTCCTTGTGGTTGTAGAAACTAGATTGCTTAACACTTCTGTTGTTAGAGCATAAAAAATGGAAATTAATAAGTTGAATTAAATGGATAGCTTCATCTCCAAGGCATAACCCATTCGTGACAATAACTACTACTTTCTACTAGTATTTCAAAAGCTCCAAACTTGTAAAGTTGTAATCCCCTAATAAGACTATAAGAGTATCTGTCTCTGTGTTGTCACTTTGATATCTGTCTTTGGGCAGATTCTTGTGTAGATTCTTCACGAAGATCAACGGTTCTAGAAAACAGAGGAGATCATTCTGTTGGATAGTAACTAACTGAACTATTCTCTATAAGATATGTGTTTAAACAAGAGCTCATTCTTTTTAAACAATATGTGTTTACAACAACTAATTTATTTTCTATAAATATCAAATCATTTTAAATAAACACAAGAAAAAAAATCTAAAATATCAATACTACAAATCCAGAAAGAGTAATTATTAGTCCTCATGGAAGCTGAACTTATTGAAGTTAAATTCTGCCAACCATCATTTATTATATCAGTTCATTATCTACTCTTTGCAACTTTATCATTTATGTGTTTACAACAACTAATTTATTTATCTATAAATATATTCATGCACAAATTATCTTAAAATAATTTTTTTTTTTTTGAAAATATTAATCTTTCAAACACAAAAGTAATTATTAGTCTTTTTGAAAGTTGAATTTATTAAAGTTAAATTTTGTCAACCATAATTTATTTTGTCAGTTCATTTGTCTACTCTATCCATGTTTATCATTTATATATTTACAAAAACTAATTTATTTTTCTATAAATATGTTTTGCACAAACTATCTTAAATAAACAAAATGTTTTTTTTTTTGAAAATATCAATCTTTCAAACACAAAAATAATTATTAGTCTTTTTGGAAGTTGAATTTATTAAAGTTAAGTTATATTAACCACCAGTTATTATGTTAGTTCATTTGACTACTTTATGCATGTTTATCATTTATGTGTTTACAACAATTAGTTTCCTATAAATATGTTCATGCACAAATTATCTTAAATAAACAAGTTTTTTTTTTTGAAAAATATCAATCTTTTAAACATAAAAAGTAATTATTAGTCTTCTTGGAAGTTGAATTTATTGAAGTTAAATTCTATCAAACATCATTTATTATGTTAGTTCATTTGTCTACTTAATGCAGGTTTATCATTTATGTGTTTACAACAACTAATTTATTTTTCTATAAATATGTCCATGCACAAATTATCTTAAATAAACAATTTTTTTTTGGAAAATATTAATTTTTCAATTACAAATAGTAATTATTAGTTTTTTCAAAAATTGAATATATTGAAGTTAAATTTGGTCAACCATCATATTTATTATGTCAGTTCATTTCAGGTGATGATCCACTTGAAGAAGAGTGAGATCACCTGACACCATAAAAAACATGATAAAAACTTGTTTTATAGAAGAAAAATATTAATGAATCGATAGTATAGTCGATTTCTTATGGTATCTAACCCCAGCTAACATGATAAAAGCTTGTTTATATCTGAGCAATGCACATTAAAAATATTAATGAATCGATAGTAGAGTCGATTTCTTATGGTATCTAACCCCAGCTAACATGATAAAAGCTTGTTTTTATCGGAGCAATGTACATTAATATTGTTTTTGAGCCCATTCACTTTCATTCTTGGGTACGCCACTGGTTCATTTGTCTATTATTTTTGTATAAACATGTTCATGCAAAAATTATCTTAAATAAACAAAATTCTTTTGAAAAATATCAATCTTTCAAATATAAATAGTAATTATTAATTTCTTGAAAGTTGAACTTATTTGAAATTAAGTTATGTTAAAAATCATTTATTATGTTAGTTTATTTGTCTACTACATCCATGTTTATAATTTATGTGTATATAACATCTATTTTATTTAATAAATATGTTCATGCAAAATTATCTTAAATAAACAAAATATTTTTTTTTTGAGAATATCAATATTTCAAACAAAAAAATTAATTATTAGTCTTCTTGGAAGTTGAATTTATTGAAGTTCAATTCTGTCAATCATCATTTATTATGTTAGTTCATTTGTCTACTCTATGCAGGTGTATTATTTATGTGTTTACAATAACTAATTTATTTTTTATATAAATATGTTCATGCAGAAATTATCTTAAATAAACAATTTTTTTTTGGAAAATCAATCTTTCAAATATAAATAGTAATTATTATTCTTCTCAAAAGTTAAATTTATTGAAGTTAAGTTCTTTCAACCATCATTTATTATGCTAATTTATTTGTCTAATCTATAAATGTTTATCATTTATGTGTTTAAAACAACTATTTTTTTCCAATAAATATGTTCATGCACAAATTATCTTAAATAAAAAAAATTGTTTTTGAAAAATATCAATCTTTCAAATACATTATTAGTCTTCCTTAGAAGTTGAATTTATTGAAGTTAAAGTTCTGTCAACCATCATTTATTATGTCAATTCATTTGTCTGTTCTATGAAAGTTTGTCATTTATGTGTTTACAAATTTATTTTCCTCTAAATGGGCAATGTACAAATTATCCTAAATAAACAAAATATATATTTAAAAATTATCAATATTTCAAATACAAAAGTAATCATTAGTCTTTTGGAAGTTAAATGTATCATTTACGTGTTTTCAGCTAATTTATTTTTCTATATATGTATTAAAAATTTTCATCTAATTTGAAACATTAAAAAAAAACCGTTATTTATTTTAAAACTGAGAAAATATTAGTTTATGGAAACTGAATCTATTGTAATTAAATTCTGTCAACTCATCTGTTTATTTCATGCAACTTTATCAACTATGTATTCACAATAACTAATTTATTTTGTATAAATATGTAAATCTCTATACAAAACAAGTAAATAAATTTTAAATACAGAAACAATAATTATTAAATTTTTTAGAAATTTAAACTATTGTTGTTAAGTAAGTTCTACTTCCTCCGTTTTGTAAATAGTATCACTTTAATTTAACATAAATTCAAAAAATGATTGAAATGCATTTAAATTCTCATTAATTACACATATTCAATCAATAGTATTTAAGATAAATTAAATTATTTATAAAACCAATATATTTATAATTAATAATAAACTAAAATTTATATTGAAATTTTAAAATGATATTTTTTATGTAACAAGAAAAAATGTTAAAATTATACTTTTTGAGAAACAGAGGAGTATCAACCATCATGTCGTTCAGAATTAACTACATGTTGTATTTCTAATGCAACTCCATTATTTATATGTTTCAAACAACTAATTATTTTCTCTATAAATGTGTACTTCTCTTTACAAACCAGATTTAGTGAATATATAGTATTTCTACTGCATTCTCTTTAGTCTCTCTCTACACTCTTACTTCCTCATCACTTTCTACAAATTTAAAGTGATATTTTAAGCAATGGAGGATCAATCTCTTTACTCTCCGATCAATCCACACTTCTTCAAGCCTCTTCTTCCCGGCTTCTACATTCACCTCGTAGTACTCTCTTAGATCTTCTTTCGTTCCAAAGAAAATATTTTTTTACAAAATGTTTCATTTGCTTAACCTTTTTGTAACCTTGTTACATGTTTGGTGCAGAATATTCCTGTAGCTTTCTTCTCGAAGCACGTCCAAGGAAGAAACAACCACACCAAGACTGCGAAGCTGAGAACAGATGCTTCTGATAAAACTTGGACAGTGAAGATGGACGGCTCTAAGTTCACTGATGGATGGGAAGATTTTGCAGTTGCACATGATTACAGAGTTGGTGACATTATCGTTTTCAGACATGAAGGAGAACTAGTGTTTCATGTCACAGCTTTGGGACCAAGTTGCTGTGAGATTCAATATGCTCCAACTTCATCTTACAACATCAGTAATGATAGTCATGATCAAACTAACAATTTTGGTATACTTTTGTTCTATGAAATATACTCTGATTCTGAAGAAAAAGATGCAAATTTATATTTATTTAAAATTGTTTTTAGCTACAGAAACAGTTCAAGAGAGAAGAAAAAGAGAGAGAAGAAGAATCCAAGAAAGAAAGTAGAGTCTTCTTTTAGACCAAAACCAGTTCTAGAATCTTCATTACACAGTTCTTGTTATGTGGGATCTGTCAGTGCTTCTAGCCTGAAGGATGATAAGCTGGTGAATAAAATTTTTTTGCTTATTCCTTTATTTGTATGTTTATAAGCAGCACTGTGTGAATACTTGCGTTTTGCAGTATCTTGGGAGGGAGTTTGTGACTGCAAATGGTCTAAACAAAGGATGCAGTGAGATAGTTTTAAAGAATGAACGTGGAGGAACATGGACTCTACCTTTGAAACATTACAAATCAATCAATCATACTTATCTAGGACCAGGCTGGACCACATTCTGTCAAGTAAACGGGATCAAAGCTGAAGATTCCTTCATGTTTAAACTGGTTAGAACCGGGGACAAGCCTGTTCTTTGTCTGTGCCCTGAAGATAGTGATGATCTCTCCTCTAGTACTAGCAGCGGAGACAAGAGTAGCAAGTCACAAGAAAGTAAAGAGGAGAGTCTTGGAGACAAGAGAGCTTCTTCTTCTTATAGTCAAGACCGATTTGTGACACTAACTCTTACAGCAAAAGCTGTTAAACACTATCAACTGGTGAAGATCATAAAAAAGTCTGCTTCAAGGTTGTCCCTTAGTCTATTATAGTTAGTTTCTAACATAAAATGTTTGTGCAGTTTCTTCCGATGGGTTTCATGAAAAGGAATGGGATCAACAAGCCAGGGAAGATAACTCTGTTGGGTCAAGATGGAGTAAGACGAGTGGTGGCTCTTTCACAGAACAAAAGACATGGAAAAATGCAGATTGGAAAAGGTTGGAGAGTGTTCCGTGATGCTCATGGTGTAAAGATAGGACAGCCCTTTGTGCTGGAACTTATTTGGGAGGACCAAGCAAGCCCTGTGCTTAAGTTCTGCACCAACCTTAACCCCAGAGAAGGCTCCTGTGATGTCTAAACTCATTATTAGGAAGAAGGTATGCTACTTTCTCTGCAGTATTTTACCGTATCTGTCAAGTTTCTCTATCTTACCACTTGTGTGTAGTGCAAGGCATCGTTCCTAGTCTAGTTTGGAATCTTTTAAGAAATGGAAGTGTCCTCACTTTGTGCATCAAGTCTTATAGTTTGTTATCTTGGGGGCAGAGCAACTATTAGTAACTCATACATAATATTTTTAGCAATGGACTAATGCATTGGGACCAAGTTTCTGTGAGATTCAGTATACATCATCTCACAACACCAATGATGATGATAGTCATGATCAGACCAACGACATTAATGAGTCTTCTTCTTCATCAGACCATTCTCGTTTTGTAGGAAGATCATGGAGTTTGAAACTAAAACACGACAAGGAAGACATGCATACTTTTATCAGAAAAGGTTGGAGAAGATTCTGCGCTGAAAATGGGATGAACCATGGTCACTATACATTGAAACTGGTTAAAAAATCTTGACCACCGGTTATTAAGTTGTGTGGCCGAGTGCATAGACCAAAACCAGTTCAACAATCTTCATTACACACTTCTTGTTATGTTGGATCTGTCGCTTCTGATAGCCTGAAAAATGATAAACTGGTGAATACATAAACTCACACTATAGTTTCACACAATGTGTGTTTGACTCGCGCGTGTGTATAATGTTGGCGTTTTGCAGTATCTTGGGAGGGAGTTTGTGAGTGCAAATGGTCTGGATAGAGGATGTAGTGAGATAGTTTTAAAGAATGAATGGGGGAGGAAGATGGAGTTTAGCTTGGAGACGATATGAATCAGTCAACCAGACTTATGTTGGACCAGGATATGGAGAACTTTCTGTCAAAAGTGGGTATCTACCAAGAAAAGTGGAACATATTCAAATCCTAAAAGTACTTGTTTTCTGCCAAAAAAAATATTTTACAAGTAAACTATCAGTATAATTTAATTTTAATGAGAGAAAAAAAATACTCTTAAGGGCTTATATTGAATTCATTGGCATTTTTTAATACAAACTATTAGAGTTTTGTGTGTGTTTCACATGCAACATGCAAATTCTACTTACGTGTCTGATTACTGGAGTCCAGAAAAGCATTTGTATCAAGTCTATTTGGACATTATTAAACAGCCTAGAAGGATGGTTTAATGTCGATAATAAGTTTTATCTTTCACATGGCCCTGTTTATAGTGTAATACTATATGGATTGTTTAACAATATTAAGGATTATAATAGGCAAGGAAAGTGAATATCCCATCATTTTTTTGCTTGTATTTTTTCTTTTCTTAACTGAGTGGTCACATGCATGTACAATACTCACACTGTCGGCTAATGATTTATTTATAAAAATGCTGCAAAATTGATATAGATATACGATAATTAGAAATCTAATGAAATTTGGAAGAATTATTTCATTATATGGCTAGGACGAAGATAAGAGTAAATTGAAGTGTGGCTGACATTTATTTAATATTTTCCTCTTATAAAATTAATTACAAAATTATAAGTACAAGTTATTAATATATACAATTATATTAGTCAAAAGCTTGGAAAATATTTATAGAAAGTCACCAAATAGATAGTTTTGTCAGAAACATACATATTTCATTCGACTAATTATATAAAACTTTGTAGAAATATACATATTTTCAGTTACTAGTTACATATTTTCAGTTTTTAGAAATATATATGAACAAAACAGTTTAGCTCATTAGATCACTGTCTTTTTTTTTTCCACCATCAACTTCAGGAACATTAGTATAATTAAATTACAATTGTTAGTTCTGTTTAATACGATTTTGATGGAATTTCTTTCTGCCACCAGAATTTTGTGATATCTAATCAAACAGTAGTACAGTGCAAAATGGCTTCCTTCTGCTTTATAATTATATTGACTTGTGGGGTTGACTTTTAATAATAATGCGAAATTTACTCCATAATAATCGGTTTGTAATTTTTTTCTCGTTATCAAATTATGAGTGATAAGTCAATCCAACCAGTTTATCATGTGTTGATCACCTAGTGGCACGTATATTTCTTCATATAAATCCCATGACACTCACTGTAATATGCTTCTTCATATAATCAAGACCCACACATGCATTTATTGAATAGGGTTGTTTCCAATTAGATTCCTCTAGATCCTATAACTGTGCTGTCAATACATTTTGTTTTTATTAGTTTAACCAAATCTTAATTATTGAGTTAATTAATTAATTTTGGAAAACAATAAGGACGAAATGTTTGTTTTTCTATATCAAAGTTTTAAAGCTTTCACACGATCTTTCCTTTAAAAAAAAACTCTTCTCTCTTTGGTTTTTCTTCTTTGCAAACAAGACTCTTGTGCAGCCATGCTTCTCTTTTAAGTAAGTTCTCGCAGTTTTTACATCTTGATGACATTTTTTTTGGTCTAATCTTGATGACATCTTTCCGGTTAAGTTTTAAGTCTTCTACAGGACTAATTAAATAGAGGATTATGATCTTTCTGGATTTTCCTATATAAACTGCTTGCACGAGAAGCATATTGAGAGGATTCAACTGGAGATTAAATACAAAATAAAGAAGCAAAAATGAGAGAAGAAAATGAGTATGAAGCAGAACCAAGGGAGAGAACTTTGGGTTTAACACCAACGTGGTCCGTTGCTACAGTTCTGACAGTTTTTGTAGTTGTTTCTTTGATCGTTGAGCGTTCCATTCATCGGCTTAGTACCGTAAGTTGGCTTGTAATATATGTTTTAAATATATATATATATATATATATATATATATATATATATATATATATATATATATATATATATTTGTGTTTATCATCTGATAATTAGAATGTTTGCCTATAGAAATTGAAAAACCGAAATAAGTTATCGGAATTTTAAAATAAATAGAATTGATTGTGATTTTCGGGAATGTTAAAATGTTTTGCAATCCACATAATTAAGGCCATAACTTGTTAAAAATAATTTAAAAATAAAGTTTAAAATATGTTTGGGAATTTAAAATTATGGAGTCTTCTCTTTTGTATATTCATTCTTAGGAGTAAGCAAATGTTAAAATTATTTTGATGGATTCAATATTATTTTGTTGACCTTCTGTTTTTCATTTTGTTGTAACTTTGTGAATTTTACTTTTGTCAATAGTGGTTGCAGAAAACAAAGAGAAAACCATTGTTTGCTGCATTAGAGAAAATGAAAGAAGGTTGGTGCATCAATATGTTATAACGAAACTAATGATATGCTGAGTATATTTAGTCGTAAAATATTCAATTGGTTTTTGAAATGGTTTTTCTTTTCAGAGCTGATGCTGCTTGGATTCATATCTCTTCTTCTTACAGCTATCTCTAGTACAATAGCTAACATATGCGTTTCTTCAAGTTTCTACGACAATAGATTTGTCCCATGTTCCCGGTCTGAGATCAACGAGGAACATGAAAGTACTATTTCATCGGTCAAACGGACTAAGTTAACGAGATCTCCCTTCCTTCACATCTTGAGGAGAAGATTGGTTGGCATAGGCGAGACTACATGCAGCGAGGTTATCTATCAAACTCATTTTATGATGATCTCCAACACACGTAATTAAAAAGAATACCAAAAGCTCTATATTGTAATCAGTAGACATAACATAGTCCACTGAACAGGGACATGAGCCATTTGTTTCATATGAAGGCATGGAACAGTTGCATCGCTTCATATTTATAATGGCAGTCACACATGTAACTTACAGCTGCTTGACTATGCTCCTTGCAATCGTGAAGGTATTATCAAACGTTTAGATTTTTTTCTCTACTGAGGTTTTCATGTACTATATTTATGAACTTCTTGCATGATTAACCATATTTCATTTGAGTTTGATAGTGTACCCAATTCGACTTTTTTTTCTTCTAGATTCATAGGTGGAGGATGTGGGAAGACGAGGCTCAGATGGATCGAAATGATCGCTTAACTGGTGAGCAAAAAATGTTATCTTCCATCATATTAGACAAAAGATTCCATGTATATCAAAATAAAAAGAAGTCAGCAATGACCTTGTCATTAATTATTTACAGGTTTAGTTTCTGATATAGCGGCATATACATATGCTTAGTTTCGTGGTCTAATTAAAGCTTTGATTTCTTCAGAAGCCATAATTACAAATGCTCAATAATTTTAATTTCTTGATTTTGTTGGCAGTGGACGCACGTGAAAAGATATTAAGAAGGCAAACCACATTCGTCCAATACCATACATCAGCTCCTGTGGTCAAGAATAGACTACTTATATGGGTGGTAGGTTTTTACTTCCTTAAGAAAATTGGAAGGTTAAATGTGAACATTCATTGCATTTTATGACTAAAAACACACCTAAATATGGGTAATTCATTCATATTTTAATTTTCTGTGACTTCTGTTTTTAATTGCTGAGTCAGAGATTATTTTTATAGATATGTTTCTTCCGACAATTTGGGCACTCCGTTGTTCGTCCTGACTATCTTACACTCCGCAAAGGATTCATCATGGTGCGTTCTGGTCTTATAGGAGTATCATTTAAAATTTTATACTTATTTTTCCTATTATACAAGTCATTAATGTGCATTTTAATGTGGTAAAATTTTTAATAACATTCTTTCTAAAAGTATATATCTTATGTTTTTTATTGTAGATTGCATTAAATATGTAACTTATTAATATAATAATTTTCATTTTGCTCTAAACAGAACCACCACCTAACATTGACATACGATTTTCATAGCTATATGATCCGCTCTATGGAGGAAGAGTTCCAAAAGATTGTCGGGGTCAGGTGAGTTACATCTTTTCCGTAGAAAAATAGTGTGGTGCGTCTTGGTAACTTTAAAGTAATCGAGTTATAAAACGTACTTCTCTTGTTCCAAGCTTAAATTGCTTTCATGTCACACTTGTATTTTTTTATTCATCCAACATATAAGCCAACTTTTTGGTTCACTCGTATAAGCCAAATTTATATCACAAATTTTGCTGAGTAGAGAGTCAGTGATGCATTAGCGCCACTGATGAATACCTTTTTGTGATATTTTGCAGCGGGCCACTTTGGGGTTTTGTAGTTGCTTTCATGCTTTTTAACATCAAAGGTATGCTTACTATACACCGAAACGAAAACTACTGCAAAGTACGTTCATTTTATTTTTCTGCGTTCTAAATTCATTAGTTAATGGTCATGCATGACATGCATGTTTCTTAGTTCTTGTGTTTTAATTTTATGCGTTAGAAAACGTTAACTCGTTAATGGTCTCATTCATGCATGATTAGTAGTTCTTGTGAATCTTATTCTAATTATACATGTTTTTTCTTGCTAATCTTATCTTATTTGCTATTGAGTATAATCTTCTACTACAATTGATTTTTACTCTTTTATGTGTCTAAGAGTTTCTTTGGTCATGACAATGCATGTAGGATCAAATCTTTATTTCTGGTTAGCGATAATTCCAATCACTGTAAGAACTATTTCTCCATCTTATGATTTTCTCTTTTTTTGACTCTTTGGAAAATGAGTCTCATATCATCATCACCATGTTACACTTTGGTTTGCTTCCCTCTTTTCGACAGCTTGTTCTTTTTGTTGGTGCTAAGTTGCAACATGTAATCGCAACTTTAGTTTTGGAGAATGCTGGGATAACAGAATATGCTTCCGGCTTAAAGCTGAGACCACGTGATGAACTTTTCTGGTTCAAGAAACCAGAATTACTCTTATCCCTTATCCATTTCATTCAGTTTCAGGTGTGCAAAATTTTAGGAACATCTCTACTAGTTACAAAGAAATTTTTTGTTTGTTTCGTAAATGTGTGCCTTCTTTTTCCTACAGAATGCTTTCGAACTGGCTTCATTCTTCTGGTTTTGGGTAAGTTTTTGTCCGCTCTATATGCATTAGGAAAATACATCTTTATCATATATAGAGGCTGCTCAGCAGAAGCAAACAAAAAAAAACTCATAAATAAACCATAAAATACACATTCTTCTGTAAATGTGTACTTATAGTGACATCAATTCTTGTTTCTTCAGTGGCAATTTGGATACAACTCTTGCTTCCTAAGAAATCATTTACTTGTCTACTTGCGACTTATTCTAGGGTAACAAATTTAAGTTTCATTTATTATTCCATGAAACTGCTTTGTGTGTTTCTTATAGTTTGAGACGGTTTTGTTCCATGTTTTTGTAGGTTTGCTGGACAATTTTTATGTAGCTATAGCACATTGCCACTCTATGCCCTTGTCACGCAGGTAACATGACCTTTAGAGCTTCTGCTTTTGATAGTGCTTAAAACTCACAAACTATCTCTTAATTTTTAGATGGGAACAAACTATAAGGCAGCTTTGTTACCTCAAAGGGTAAGAGAGACAATCAACGGTTGGGGAAAAGCAACTAGAAGAAAAAGAAGGCATGGGTTATATGGTGATGATTCTACTATTAGAACAGAAACAAGCACAGTTGCATCAGTTGAAGAATACGATCATCAAGTTCTTGATGTTCCTGAAACCTCTCTAGCTCAAGGTACTGAGCATGAGATGCAGCTTGTTCAACGTTGGGAAGATTCTATCTCAGTACCTAATGAAAATTCCAGTAGAGTTGGAACACCGCTCTTGAAACCTTGTGCTTCAGTATCTTCAGCGTCAAGGTTACAGACAGAAACCACTGAATCACTTTCAAGATCGTCTTCATTGCCTGTGAAAAGATAAATGGTAAAGCTAGAAATATTAATTGTTATAGCAGAATCACTTTCAAAATTTTGTTTTCAGATTGTTTATCTTTTATATTTCAATAAATGTAACGATACTGTTACATAAAAACTTGTATATGTTCATATTTATATAAAAGTAATCATAGAAATAATATTTGGTTGATTAATCGGAAGACTAGATGAAAAATTCATTGACTTTTGGTTCACAACAACTTATTTGTCTAAAAAACATAACAAAAGTACTTTTATACACTTTATCAGTTCTCATCATATGCGTTTATAGTAACTTCAGTCTCAAGGTAACGCTCAGATAAGTGGTATAGCCTTCAATACTCGGTTCTCAGGACTGGTTGCTCCTCGTTGTATTCGAGCTCCACACCATTTTTTCCAAGGGAAAGTTCAAACTCATGAGTCTTCGTAGGAGTAATTAGAATAGCTTTAATCTTATCTTCATCGTGTTCGTTTCTAATGCCCACCGTAGAACCTTCTTTTGGAAAAGGAATCTTAATGCCAGGAATCGAGACTGTGAAGGAAACGTCTAAACTGACAACCCTTTTTTGGCTAAGAAACTTACAACCTTCGACGATACTTTAGAGTTTGTATTGTCTTGTTTGTTTCGGAGACTCGAATCTTGATCAGTTCCTATGTGGATGTGATGCATCTCATGACTTCTAACCTCTCCCAAACCAATATGACTTGAAATGTCTTTAGCTTCGACGTGTTTGAGTGTAGTTCGAATGGCATCGAGCTTATTTTGTAGGTTGCGACCAAACAGTGCTGAAACATAGTAAGAACATGAATCCTATGCATAATAAAAGATTATGTATTGGCGTTGTCATTTTTTCCACTTTTTCATGCAATGAATTCAGACACATATCTTACATATTTTAGTTTGCGAAATTCTCATGTTACCAGAATTCATGCAATGAATTTAGGCACATATCATTTGGATGAGTTGAATCTTATAGGCATTCGTGTTTTATGAAATATGTCTTCTGAAAAAATATATATCATATTTATCATAAACGACCTGGCGACTTTGCAACAAGAAATGACAATAGTAACTTGTCAAGAGAAGCATGCGCATATTGATCTTGCTGGAAAAAACACCCAAATAATTTGATCAAAACAGAGTCAAACTAAGTCTATAGTATCACTCGACTAAGAAAGCCAACAAGTAATAATGATATAAAGGAAACATTGAGTAGTTGTTCTAATTGCCTTGCTCACTAGGGTTTCCCCGCTCACCGCTGCAACAGAAGAAATGTGGCAGCTTAACTCTCCCGCAACTCCTGCAAACATAACAGTGCGTACTCAATAAGACAAGAAAGAATCGAAACAAGCATACCTAAGACCAAAACAAGTCGACTCGTGTTACACACCAACTTCTTCCATCAAACTCGTTACCTTTCTACTTTCTAGTTACATGAATGTAGTTTCAACCAAGTGATAGGAAAGGACATGACACTAAATCAGAAAGCATATGCAGTGACAGCCTAGAGAAACTAAACAGAAGAAGAATCCTTCACAACCTAAAAACTAGACCTCATACCAAAACGCAAACCTGTGGCTAGATTAAGAAGCAAAAAAAAAAAAGAAGTTAATCTCGAGGTTACCTGCAACGGATGATGAGAGGAGTAGGCTTAAGAGCCTTAGGGCCATTACGTATCCCTCTCTTGTGTTTAGAAACCTGCCATGTTTCCATCAAACAGCTTCCATTAACCCTTTCTATCAATCTCGGACAAAGGAAATTATAAAGATACAAACTTTCACTTGATTCTTGCTAAGTTTTAACTCCCTAGAGAATACAAAACTAAATGTGAACCTAAAATTTCCCACCTAAATCGTTCTAAAACCCTAGAATAAACCCTGAAACCGATTTTAAGAGACTGTGAGAGAGTTCCCCAAACCTTCTTCTTCGGCACAGCCATTAGGTCCATGGATCCACTGAACGCAAAATCAGGAAGACCAAATCCGAAGCTCTTCTCATCAATCGAACCAGGTTGACTCTCCGGTGAAATCATCAGCGGCATAGCAACGGGTCGATCAACGACGGTGTTAAAAGGCGGAGGCATTGCCGCGACATTGGTCAAACTTCGGGTTTGGAGGAAGCGGCATGAGTCAACGGCGGCGCGTTTTAGCGATGTCAGTCTCAACGCCATTGATTTGATTGATGCACTTCTCTCTAGCTGTGGCGGAAGTAGGGAGACACTCAAGGGAGAGATATAAAATGAACGCGGGGAAACGACGCCGTTTCCGCTAAGACCTTTCTTTCTAGCAAGATAACCGAGTCTAGACCGAACGTATTAGGTGATGTACCCGAGTTTAATTGATGATAACCATGAATGAGCTTTTATTAACCGATGTGATGAACGTGGAACGGCGTCGTTTTCTACGTTCGAGATTTAAAACCGAAACCAACAAAATCGAGAAGAACCGACTCTAGACCGAAATTGTTAGATGATGTATTCGGTTTAATTCATAAACCAATGAGATAGATTTTAAACCGAAACTGAGGCCATTTCTAAACCCTCGTCGTGGCTGGCTCGTGTTACAGATCAAGCGAAAGCTCTGGTGAAGAAAGCAAGCAAACATGTCGTGGATGAAAGGAGATTTACTTTCCAAAACAAGGAGGCTTGTTGGTGGACTCGCTTCTCGAGAGCCCGTTTGGCTCAAAGCCATGGAAGCGTAACTCTCTCTCTCTCTATCTTTTGCTCGAGGAAATGATTTGTCTTGATCCAGTTAGATACTTCCTTATTGATCAATCCTGCTATATAGTTTCAATTGCATTAGAAAGTTGAGATCTTGCAATACTTGGACTTGGGATTTAAGGTTTTAGTTTCTTACTGTTGATGTTTGTTTGGTTAATGGGCAGATCACCTCCTCCTGTGTTTCCTCGCTCTAATGGGAACCTCAAGAAGATTGTTCTCCCTGAAGATCCTTACGTTCGTAGATTCTCCCGTAAGCATCCTGAAGCTAAACTCGTCGACCCCAACAAGTAAACTCTCCTTCTTTATTATGTCTCTGCATACATTTGGTTTGGTCTGTGCGTTATGAGTTTCTGGCTTACTCTCTTGTGTCTTGCACTAGTACTATCCATGTGGTTCTCTTCACTTATTATTTAATTTGAAGGTTTCCATCATCTCTATTACATTGCTATCTCTACCTGATATGGTTACGAGTTTCTTCTTTATAACCTTGTCTTAGTATATATATTAGATTCTAAACAGTTCTGGCTTAATCTCTTGTGTGTTTCACTAGTACTGTCCGTGTGACTCTTTTTATTCAATGGGAGAGTTTCATGTTTCCTTCACTGTACTATAATGCTTCCTTTATCTTTAATCCCATAGGGTCTCGGCGTTTATTCCAGATCCAGCACGCGTGTATGGTTGTCGTGTCCTTGAACTGACCAAGAATGGCATCAGTGAGGATGACGCCATGTCTGTAGCTAACGTACGTCCTTTCTTTTAAGTTTTGTTACTAAATTTTCACTTTAATAGATAGAAGAATGGTAATACTGCTGCTGCTGTTTCTTGAACACTGGAAATGTTTTTGATAATATTTTTCAGATGGAGTATCTTGCAGAGAGGAAGGAAAAGAAGAAAGCATACAAACGCCTAAAGGAGCTTGCTGTACTGCAAGACAAGGCTCCTCCTCCTAAACCATACCTTAGTGCCAAAAAGGAGATGCAAACTCAAGAGAAGAAACCACCTACGGATCCTCCTAGCGTCCGTAGGCTAGTTAACCAGTTGAAACAGCAGAAAGAGGTGTTGCTTCAGGACAAACCTGGAGGAGGAAGTGCTAATCATGATCATTGGATCGACGAATAGATTATATCTCCATCATCATTTTGTTTTTTTATGCAAGTTCAAGTCTTTTTATTACATGGTGTGACAAGTGTTGTTATTTCCCATTTGATTGTTTACAAAACATTTTCAACATACAAGTGTTACTCCCATTTTGATTGTCGTAATAATATATATCATTGGATGATTCTTCTTCCCATGAGGCAAGAGATAACAGGAAAGCAAAATGGTTCTGTGTCTCTCTCTCTCTATGATCCTAATCTTCAATAATTTGTTATTCAACCAAGTGTTATGCCTATTAGGTTTAGTAGTCCCGAAGTTAATTACTTAGAGTATCTGCTAGGATCTCGGTTCTGAACCATGCTACCCATACAGAACTAGACTGAAAGAACAATAACCAAATTAGCTTTAAGGTACAAGCTCTATTCTAAGTGTAGAGATCTTTAATTCTTGTTCTTTGGTCATTATGTCCGATGAAATATTTTGAATTTTTTAGTTTATGGTATAAAAGGACATATATCCTTTAATATTTTCAATTTATTAGTGTATACTTAAATGGTAAAATGAATTATTTCATTTCAAATCTGTTTACATATAACTCAATAGTTAAAATTAAATACTAGAATAATTTATCATGTATGATGATTAATCTAAGTTTATATATTAATCTAAAAATAAAAATAATCTTGAAATTACTAGAGAATGTGTATATCAATCTATTATTTGTTAATAAATTATGCTCTAAAATATATATTAATTATATTTAAAATTACAAATGACATATCATTATAATCTTAATTTATTTATAAATAAACAAATGATCAAAAATAATAACTGATCTTTTTATATTTATTATTTCATAGCAATTATTTATAACTGTAATGTGCGTATGTGTCAAAATTAACTTACATATATTTATTTCTTCATTTTCACATCTATTTTAAACAACAAATTTCACATTCCCATAAGAGAAGAGTAACTAAAAGATATGATAATTGTTTTTGAATATATAAATACCATTTTCCATAGAAACAAAACCATATTACAAACCAGTAAAATACATTCATGGCTTCCTCATCAAACATCCACTTCGTTTTCGTGCTAATAACATTTCTAGCAATCCTCAAAACTTCGTTATCATGGGGAAACATTTCATCAGTCGATGGGATAATACCGTTCTCACCTAAACATGTTGTGATCACTAACAAACTGGTCGCACAATTTGGATTGCTCGTGCACTGTACAAACAAAGGCACAGATTTGGGGGTTAGGTCGGTCCTAATTAACCAAAGTTTTGATTTCAAGTTTCGTGTCAATCTTCGCAAAACAACGAATTATAGTTGCATTTTCTCGTGGCCTGGAATTGTTAAGACGTTTGATATCTTTAGGGCAGATAGGGACGATAGTTCAAAAAGTAAGTGTGGAATATGCAGTGAATGTATTTGGCAAATATCTGAGTCAGGTCCATGTCGTATTAAACGTGATGGAGGCCCTCCTTGCTGTTTTCCATGGTGATCTTCTTAATCCTATCAAAACATGTATCCTATTTTTCTTTTATATCAAGAAAAAACAACTACTTCATATAATATACAAATAAACATTTTTTTTAGAGAAGATATGAATAAACATGTTTACTATATATTGGAATCTTTTTTTTTTTAATTGTTTGAATTGGTTGATACATATTTGTCACTTTTCTCTTCTAATAATTGCTAGTTAGTTTTTCATATAACCATGACATTTCATTATGTTTCTTTATGTTCTCTCTAAATCTGAAACGAGATTTGATGATGTTTGTGGTGGATCTACAAAGCTATGTATAACAACCATGAATACAAAAGAAAGAAAAAAATATAATAATGGGACTGTGTAGATCCACCACAAATACTGATACAGATGAGTATTTTATATTTGTGAGAATTTAATAGAAAAATTGATCTTTCAAAAATAATTCAAAACTTTTAAATATCCATATGTAACGCCCCAACCGTCTATAACTAATAGTCCACCCACATCCATTCACTCAGTCCATGAGTTCCATCCCATTCTAACAATTGATTCATTAATTTTCCAAATCTCTAAAGACATATTTATTGATCATGCAATTACCACATGAATTTTCTTCGTATTTTGGCTCAATTACACGATATCACAAATAAATTCCCAATAGATCACTCATCGTTTCACTACTCCAGTTTAACCATGCTTTAACTCTGGAGTTCTCTCTGCTCCCGAAAAAATAAGTACACTTTAATGACATAGGTAACCAAATCAATCTTATTAAACCTTCGCATATATCACAATTCGAAATTTGGTAACATAGATAACCAAATCAATCTTATTAAACTTTTCCATATATCACAATTCCAAATGTTACAATATATATATATATCCCATTTTCACATCTTATCGACATAACATTATTGTGCTGAAATGGCTGTAAGAATTGTGATACACGATAAATATGCAAACTGTACTATTTGGTCTCAGTGCAAGATAGATTCCGCGTAACCACTTCATGTCAAAGAAGAAAAAGTTACCCAAAAGATCCAACAAAAATATTGATAAATAAAAATAAAAAGAGTTGTGAATACGAATGTTTCGGTTTCCATGTACTTTGTCCTTTAGAAACCTCGAACTCAAGGAATCAAGTGTGTGACGCCCAAGGGTTTGATCTCGTTCCTCTTCCTTCCACTCTCACAACAAAGCATCCATATTTTTCATTCATCTCCACCTCTCCTATCTTCTTTTGTTTGTCGTTCTTTTAGAGATTCACTTGCTATTATAAGATCTCGTCTCTGTTGATGTAAAAGGGACACCACAAAGATACTGCAGAAAGTAAACCAAGAGACAAATACTACAAGTAAGCACTTACGCTTTATTAGAATCTCTTTTAAACAATCTATTACAAGATCTGCTTAATTCAGCTTTTATACGTCTAGTGTTAACACCCTAACACACGCTACTGAAAGATTCTTAAGCTACACCGCTTATGTCTCTCCTCCGTCAAGTACTTCAGCCACTGCTTCAGTACGACCCAAGAACACTTCCAAGAACTTTTCTCTCTTACTATAAGATTAGTCTTTGTGTCTCTGTTTCTCTGCAGACGACCCCATAACTCTCTTATAGTTATTCTTCACGTTCCTGAAAGCCTAGTCTCCGAGAAACACAATATAGACATCTTCCATAACATTAAGTGCAATTTTCCTTTTTTTTGAAATGCACTTATTCTTCTTTCTTTAAGTCATAAACTTGCTCCTCAAGTTTATTCCTCTTGCCTTTTCTCCAAAATACACCCTTGTTCTCCAAGTCTACACGACTCTAGCTCAGCATCTTGATTCTACATGGTCTTCACCACTCAACACGACGTCTACCTCAGCAACTACGTCGACGACTACTTCAGGACGGACATCTTACATCTTCAGTCTCAAGACTCTCAATGAAATTGAAACGTCTTCGAAGTCCAACAAGTAAGATTTGAAAACGTACATATGGAAATATGCAGCAACGTGGAACTTAGTAAGATTTGATCATATGAAACATGGTTAAGTTTTAATGGGACTTGTCGTAAAAATGTTTTGCAGTTGCAATTTTCTTAAAATGGATTTTTTTTTTCATTATAATACATGAATTCAAGAAACAAAACATAGAACAAGGGGACCAAAAGAGTGGCACAAGTTCATTCTTCTGTAACCCTAACTCTCGGACTCAACATCGGGTCTTATGCCACTAGATCTAGCAGTATTATTAGCATCACCTTCACTGTTTCCACCATCATGACCAGAAGAATCTCTAACACTCCGACCACTACCGTTGAAACTAAACCTAACCCAAACCTCTCTACCATCATTATTTTTCTTCCCAACCTCACCCCCTTCAACAGGCATCTCGTACCTACAAACAGGACACGATCCATGAAGCCCTAACCATTTCTCTATGCATCCTCCATGAAACCTATGCTTACACGGCATCTCCTTCACCGTCTCCTCATCCTTCCACTCCTCTAAACAGATCACACACTCTCCTTCGCAGCCGTCGATATCAACAACCGGCATCGCATCGATGGAAGCCTTGGACGCTGGAGGATGACCTTCCTCACGTGATTCAAGGAAGCCGCGAAGCAGAGGATTCAAACCAGATGACTCCTCGAGGATGATCATCCCTTGCGTAAAAGGGTTGACCAGAATGACACGGTCACGCGTCGAAGCAACTTCACCGTCTCCGTCTGGTGATTCTTGACCAGAAAAGCCTAAGAGGAAAGGCAAGAAGAGATACAAGTCTCTGTTCCTTACAAATCTTCCCGGAACAGAGGAAGTCTCTCTACCAACTTCAGCTTCTTGTTCTGTCGCCATTGGAAACACTACAATAGATCCTAATTGATCGAGTAAAGGCGTCTGTATGACGACGATTTAAGAGTTGCAAATGAAAGTTGTGGAAAGATCTAGAATATATTAATTTGGTATACTATTTTTTCTCAGTTAATTACCAATGGGACCTAAATAATAATTTGAGTTGTAAGACAGTGATTGATCTTATCTATTAGCAGACAAACGTGTCACTATGAAGTGGAGAACACGTCACACAAGTGAATACTAAGCAATAACAATTGATTTATATGAAGTGTTGTGAAAATATACAGAATAATATGCTCCTATGACCCTACGCCACCCGTCGGAAAATTTAGATATACAACTAAAACTAAACTACATCATCTTCTCATCTACTTTGTACTAACAAAGCAAATCAGATGCTTTGCAACAAAGAATTAACTGACAAGACCACGTTCTCTCTCTGTACCTGTGGACGCAGACGTGAAAAAAAATGTGCGTTTTTACCAACCGCGGCAGCAATGAGACCGTTTGGTTTCTTGGTATTTACGCCAGAGGCAAGTCATTTCGGCAGGGCTTTGGTAATGAGCAACAACATAACCGTCTTTGCATCCATCACTAATGATCCTTCCATCATTCTCGTAATGAGGCTCGAGTCCATGTTTCCTCAGGTCATTGATCCATATACCCATCGCCACGTCTTCTAGCTTGAACATCTGTTTTACAGTTTCGAAAATTTCACAATCCATTCTATGCGCATTTTCAAAATGTATTTAACATAAGAGTAGTAGTAGTACCTTTAGATTTCCTTCTTTGAAAAGCTTGCTCACAGACTCTGCTATGTCCCGGGACACAATGTAGCCTGGACCATGCGCCCATGGTGGATACTTCTCTTCTGGCCATTCCTGTTTTTGAGTAGAAACATTGGTCAAATGAAATCGTCAATCATGATTTACATTTCCATGTCTGGTTGTGTTGTACCTCGTAACTGATGTACCATTTGCTATCAGGGTTTCGAATTGGTTGAGAGTCGGAATTGATCAGTCCATATATTAACCCACGAGTGTTGTTGATCATTGATAAAGAAAGTAATATTTCATCAACACGAACAAAGGCATCATCATCGGTTTTCATGATAAACTTGGCTGAGTCAACCTCTGTCTGTTCAAGAGATGTCGCTTGTGAGGCAAAATGGTAGAGACTACTCAATCTTGTATAGGAAGAGACATGAGAAAGACAGTTCTTACCCCGAAGATGCAGATTGCTAGTGTTTTCCAGCTGATGAGACTGTAGTAATCAACAAAGGGCATTAGCTGAACATCACCGTAAGTCCTAGCCTCGTTCCACAGTTCCAGGTTTACAATAGGACTTTTGTGCTGCATTATCATGCATAGAGAGATCATGATTAAGAACCAAGAAATGTCAATATACACCTGATGATTGCAAAGAGGGCGGAAGCTTACAAGGCCAACAAAGAAGCGTACTGCAACTCTTCCAGACCTTACATCATCATACTGCATCCATGTTCTTCTCACAGCCATCCGTCGTTTAAAATTGTTAGCCGTGGAGAAAACGCCAATAACAAGATCCAATGGCCTTAATGGTGAAAGGGGAGGTGCCTTCAGTGCCTCAAGATCAACAACATGCTCAGATTCTTCTGATGTGGGTAAACCGCTGGCAAGAATGGATAGTAACTTCAAATCACCTGTAATCCTTACTTCACTAACAAGCCATGGCTCCAATGTCTGTACCAAAGATGAAGAATCTAAAAATTTGATGCCAAAAGTTGCCAAGAACAGTAAAATATAAAAAGAAGTGTGATGATGCTAATATTACATCACGGAAAGCGAAAGAGGTTATATGTTTCCCATCAACTGTCATCTGCATTCCTTCAGTTCCCACCCTAAGTGTAGCAACAGACAAAAACCCTTGCTTAAAAGGAAAATACTTTTCATGTTTAGATGCTGGAACTCCCTTTGAAGCGTTGGACTGCAAACCACTGGAAGAAGTTCTGTTCACTTCTCTACCCACCACCTTATCACACTGATCCAAGTCATCAACTTTTTTATTCAAATCAGGATCAAAATTCGGACACCGTTCCTCAACCCCCCAATCACGACCCACCGTCCAACTATTCTGCACAATCACAGGATCCTCAGTCCACTTATCACCAAGCAGCCTAACATTGTAATGCACAATAATAGGCGGATCAGGCTCCCCTGGAAGCGGTTGTCCCGTTAAATCAATCCTAAAGCTACCAACAAGACCCTCAGGGATGCCAATAACAGTAACAGAAGAGCCTTGAGTCAAACCACAAGGGATCTTCAATCCATCATCTTCAGTAGCATTCATTTTACTAAGAAACTGAGGACAAAGCTCTTTTTTCCCTCTCCTCGTTTGGTTTATTACATTCACATCATCCAACTTCTTGTTGGCTTCAACATCTGAGAGAAGACTCTCCCAAACAATCCCAGCTTCCTTGATAGCATCAACTCCGTTAGCTAAGCTCTGTGCGTTATCAACCAAGCTTTGGAGACGGTTCCACGTAAGCAAAGACTCTCCCTCTTCTTTAGTCCCGTTATGCTCGAGAAACAGAGTCGAGACGGTGATGATCTCGTCGCCGGAGAGTGGTTCTTGAGTGTTTCTTGGTTCGTTCATGAAGTCAGGGACGGTGATTCGGAGCCATTCGAGTGGGAGTGTGGTGTTGGCAGTGAGGATAGTGGCGGTTATGTAAGGCTTTTCAATAGGTGTTTTCAAATCGATGTATCTGTACACTGTGAAGAACATACACATTGATGCAACAAGAAGGCCTCCATAGAATCTCTTCATTAGAAAAAACTCAGGCCAGTGTGTTTATAGTTCAAATAAATTGTGTATTTATCATACGGATCCCTGAAAAACAAAAGGAATCAACATTTTACACTCAATTTTCAAAATCAACTAACAGATCAGTGTGTATAGAATGTTGTTGCTATTGTCTATAGTTCAAAATCAAATGTGGATATTCCTGAAACACAAGAGGAGTCAACATTACACTCAATTTTCGAAATCAAGTAACGGATCCAGGATCTATATACAACTAGTCTAAGTGGCTATTTCGGCAACTCGATGCATTTAGAATCACAGTTCATAGAACTCAAATCGAAACTTACTGAAACGACTCGAAGAGTCGCGAAATCGATTCGAAGGAGAAACGGAATCTGTTTGCAGGCGTTGAAGGAAGCAATGTCGGTTCCAGAATTAGATTCCGGTTAACCGGAGTGACGCGAGAGAGGTTTTATGAGTGGAATCTAGATGAGATCTCTGTTGGCTTTGTTTTTTAGTTGCAGTCTGTATCGTGTAACCGAAGCAGCGCAGCGCACCTTCCTCTCCACCAGCAAGAGAGAGCGATAGTTCAAGCACCTTCGCCACTTACTTTGTATATTTTTTTAAAATTGTTTTCTTTCTGTGAAAACAGAAACGGTAAAATGGTGAAAAGTGAAAACTGCAGGGAGAAGACACGACGTGGAAAAGAGGAGAAGTTACTGGGATAATAATGGGCCCGATTTCACCAGACACTAGTCTATTATTATCATACGTGGCGAATAGAGTTTTCACCGTTTTTGTCTTTTTTTGTGCTTGAAGCAATTTAAATATGAATATTAGTTAACAAAATCATAAATCAATGGTATTACAGAATGTCTATATGCTATGGCTAAACATTTTTGTTTTATACTATGATGATTACTAACCACATCGCAAGGAGACGTCTGGACAGTTAAATTTTGAAAATTAACTGCGCCTAGTAGTAATTTATTAAGATCCTCTAGATAAATTACTAAGAGAAATTGGGAAGCAAACTTCAAAGAGTAAGCAAGTTCCCAAGTCATGATAGCGTGAGAAGCATGTGAGGTTGTTTTCATTTGTAAGTTGTAACGCATCACCATACATCGCCAAGTCTTATCACCTCAAAGATATTTGGTTGTCATTTTTTCCTTTAAGGTTTTTTTTTTTATCTTTTTATGGTTGGAGGAAATGAACAATCAGACTGTAGTTTTCACGTTGGTCTTTGAGTTTGATGCACATTATGACTCAAGTGGGGAACTTCTGGATTATAAAAAAAAAAAAAAAAAAAAACAATCATGATGACACTTTGACGGGATGGTGTAGCTTGGTGGTAAAAATCTTGGAGGCCAATAGTCATGCCCCCGGGTTCGACGTCACAGGGAGGCGAACTACCCATCCATGTCATAACAATGCGGTACTGGGTGTTGGGCCTTGTCCTCAACCCAGGTTTAAAGCCCTCCCGGGTGAAAGTGGACCGCTGCCTAACCGGGCCCAGAGGAATGATCCACGTAAATGGGAAACCTCTGGATTATAAAAAAAAAAAAAAAAAAAAAAAAAAAAAAAAAAAAAAAAAAAAAAAAAAAAAAAAAAAAAAAAAAAAAAAAAAAAAAAAAAAAAAAAACAGTCATGATGACACTTTGTAAGAGTTGGATCTTTGGTCTGCTGAAGTTTTTGATGGTTGATGGATCATTAATCCTTGTGAATTTTCAAGAGAAAGAACACAAGGATATTGAAAATGGAGAAAGCAAAACAAATTCTGGTGCATATCTTTTTACCTAGGGTTGACTATTAATGAATAATGAATAAGATTTTGCGATGGATGTACTTTTTATAACTATGAAAATTGCATTACTAAAGCCTGTTAAATGCCACAAGCTTCACCGTTTATAGAGTGAAAAAAATCCTGCAAAACCATTACCACTAACACAAGAACAGAGCACAGCATGACGCTCAGAAACACCTACTCCTTTGCGGATGAATATTCAGATATATAAATACGTTTTTCCACGTTCGTTCGGTTTTAAGTGCACACAAACAATTTTACTTTTACTTTACCGCTAAAAGTAGTTATCCTACGAAACCACTCTGAACAACCCCATGTAGTTGTATTTTGGGCTTTAAAACCTGAAGGAATATGTTCAGTGGCATTAGTTACCTACATATGCTCTGAATTTTATTAAGGAAATAATAACCTGTATATTAGTTTTTTGTTTGCTAAAACATTTTTGATTCTCTTACCAAACAAATCATGGGTCATATGTTTTTGTTGCAACTAAAAGTTGCGAGAAACAGTGAAACAAACACAAATAAAAACCAAATAAGTACAAGGTATTATTCGTAAATAGAAAAATAAAATTCAGCCGTGAAATTTAGAACTTTGGAAATTGAACTCGAGAGTCGCATCGACCATGTGGCATAACAGGACAGTTGATGAAGTTGGAGCCTGAAGTATCAACGCAAAGATAAATCTGATAAAGTTGGCTATTATGCGACGAATCTTTGTTACATTCAATTCCCGGAGCAAATCCAATTGCTTCTTTGATCGCTCTCTCAATATCTTTTATTTCATAAAATTTATCATCTGGTTTAATCCCTGCATCATGAAAAACATAAATATATAATAAGAAAATAACAATACAGATTTATTTGAAGGGCATAAGAAATGAATGTTGTACCAGCATTGGTGAGGGCATGAAGGAGATTAGCCTTCTGTTTGAGTTTGAGTCCGGCTTCAAAGTAATCGTGTTGGTCGAGCTCAGACTCGGCACACGTTCCGTGCTTCTCCCATTCATGTGTCCAAAAGTGCACACCATCGTTGCTGGGACACGACAATGTTGGCCATTCTCTTTGTAAGTTGCTCATCAGATCAGATACCTTCATTTTTTTTTTCATTTTCACTTTCCGTTAGTAAATTATTTCACAATATTTATTAATCTGTGAGAATCGTTTGCAAAACCCATACAAACGTATATCGCTCCCAAAATATTAATGTCCTAATTTATATTAATTACATTCTACAAAAATAACATTTTAAAGTTAAAAAACAAACCCGTGATTCTTCAAATGTGCTATCAGGATTACAATTCTGAGGCCATCCACCAGCTTTGTAGTTAGGCCAAAGACCATGAATTCCAAAATCAGCAGCTGGTTTCCCGGTTTTTGGATAGCAACAACTATGTCTTGAATCACAATACGCTCCAGGCCACTGCGCATTGCAATACATAAACATAAATTTACAAATATATATATATACTGATCATTCTTGTAGTGAGACATACGTATTATTAGATTTGGATCAACTTTACCTGTAGAACAAAGTAGAAGAAATCGAAATCTTGAGCGACACTTAGCACGTACAATTGTTGTAACGCAAGAATACAAATGAAGAATTTCATTTTTCTCAATGAAGTCTTAAATGTGGAGAAAGAATAATTAGTTTGTGGAAACCAAATTAGTCCCAAAAGAAATGAAGAATGGATGAGAGAAGAACAGATTTAAGTTTTGGTTATATAAAGCCATATAACGTGACGTGTGATATTTGTTTTGGGTACAAAAACATGACGTGTGATTGACTGATAGCTAAATGCTTAATTGTATTAGGTTAGTGTTACGTGCAAGCGTTTTATTTCCAGCTCCAACGCTTTTGAAAGTAGTAACGTAAGTCGAGCTTTTTATCCTCAAACTATAAAATAAACCAATCAAAATATTTTTTGAGCCCAAAAAGTGTGTATTTGTTCACAAACAACCATTTTACAAACCTATTTTGATATACAACGTAAGTTGTTGCTGCTTGCTTTGATCACAGCTCTTTCATGTCATTTATTTCATCCTGTTTGTTCTAATGTCAAACGAGATGCATTATTTTAAGGGACTTGTTTTTTAGGTAACGTGATCCGTAAGCTTTATCCTTATTTAACAAAACCGGTTTAGAAATTCAAATATTTTAAGGGACTTGTTTTTCTATGTAACGTGATCCATAAGCTTTATCCTTATTTAACAAAACCGGTTTACAATGTGTTCACCTTGATCAATGTGTCAACATCATCTCTGATTATTACCGCTCCTTCTGGTCGGAGAATCCTATCCATCTCCAAAAGAATGTCATCATCCGCATTGCACCTAAAAAGATTCATTAGCAGTCTCAAAAACACACACAACCGAAAAGTGTTTGAAAAAGAGACACAAACACTTACTTGTTTTTGTACAGACTGAAGAGATGGTTCGCATGGATTAAGTCATATGTTCTTGGGTATGTAGAGAAAGCCTTGCACCTAAAAAAAAACAAAGTCTCTCAAACCAGAACACAAAGAGCTTTGAGATATTGTCATAAGATGAGAATGTTTCTTCTACTTACCAGTCGTGGTAGATTCTAATGTGACCTCGTTCATACACAACAGCAAGTCTATTCTTTTCAGCAATCATGGGGACAACATTCATAACCCAAAGCTTTGTAGATTCAAGAGCAGCAGCAAACCCACCAAACCCGGCGTTCATGTCAGTTGCCATTTCATATTGCAACTGACTTTAATAGTAGTGTTTTTTTTTGTTCAAATTTTTAATAGTAGTGTATTTTTTAGTGACACAGGAGAGAAAAACAGTACCATTCTTTTTGTCAACCGCGGAAGCCAAATTGGACTTTAGAAACCGACTTTCGCGAAACTCTTCACAAGTACGAGTAATGATAATCAATGAGTGTGATTGGCAAATTCTAGAGTAAATGAAAGTAATAAAAACGGAGTAATTTTGAGTAAATGTTGTAGAGTAAATGAAATATATAAATGAATAATAAACTATAAAAAGTAGCGTAACTGATATCCCACTTAAAAACCAAAGAGTAAAATACGACATGTTTTACCTTCATTTGAATAGTAACTAGAATAAAACAATAAATTAATAATTAAAGTTTTTTCCACCTAATTGGTAAGTTTATGAGCTGAAAGTGGAGTAACATATTTTTAGCGAGAACATTAACACTATCAGTGACTTACAGTCACACCTAATATGTAGCAAGATATTGAATTAATTCAAATAGCGAGAACATTAACACTATCAGTTACTTGGTGAACATCTTTGTGAATGCATGCCGGCTTATAGTGCTAGTGTTTTGTACTCTACGTTCTAGTTGGTAGTTTTTTTTTTTTGAAACCATAATTGATACTAATTGTTAACGAAAAACGTTGATTTTGTAGTTCTATTAGAATTGTATCTTTTGAACATACCATTAGAAGTATAATTTTTTTTTCAATTTGGATATATCCCACACCTATAAAAGGACTCAAACTAATCTCCAAAAAAATATATCTTTGGAATTATCTTGTATTATAATATGTTGGTCTTATATAATAATTTTTGTACTGTAAATTATGGTCATCACACATTTAAAACAAATTATATTTATAACTATGGTCAGTCATTTTTTAAAAGATTCATAAACATTTTCTGAAGCACTCATAAATATTTTTTAAAGGACTCAGATACATTTTCTAAAAAGCTCAGAAACATTTTTTAAGGGTTCATAATTGATTTATGACGGTTTAAGAATAT